AGTGCTCCCCATCCACACAGAGCTGCTCCCCTTGGTCTCCTCCATCTGTCCAAAGTGATCCAGGCTTCTTAATGCACTTTTTCTCTGCAATGAGGGGTCAAGGGGGAAGAAACCTTTATTCATGGAATAGTTTTCATTTCCAAGGGTCTGGCAGACTTTCAGCTCTTTGAAGGCCATTCCTGATGACTTCATGGGGCTTTTTATAAAGTGAGATAATGGCAGTGGAGGGACAGAAGCAGCTGCACAATTCCCTGGCTGGGGCAGAGATGGCCCAAGCACCACAGCCCTCAGCAAATCCATCACCCCATGGATGCCAGGAGCCAGATGCTCATGGACACGCTGGTTCCCAGGGCAGGAGCCCACTCACCTTCCATGTGGGGATGTCTTGTGACAGATCCCCAGCACATCCTCTGTGTCTGCTCCTCAGGGCTGCTGAAGGGTGGGATGGTTTAATGCAATAATTCCCTTCACAGCCTGAAAATTCAGTGTTCATCTAACACAGGTTACACCACGCTGAGCCTTCTCAGTGCTGGAGATTCCCTGGCAAGAGTAGCTTTGCTGAAAAGCACAATAAAGATTAAAACACAATCTAACTCTTGCAGAAGTGTTGTCAATCCACAGATTTCTGAGCCACAAACATGGAACAAATATTTTTGTGTACTGAATTTTTTTTGGCTGTAACACTGCAAATCAAGTAAATAATTTTCAGGTTTGAATGGAGTTGTTCCTACAATGACACAATTTTCCTGCTGTTGACAGCCAGCAAAACAATCTGTGCAAAAACAACCCATCCCTTCACCCCATGGAGAAATACCAGAAAACACAAAGATGTCAAATTTACCGAAGGTGGATTTTTTTGAAAAGCAGAAACAGGATAAACTAAGGCAAGACTAAAGCTAGATTGTCCCAGGCACGGCAGGAGCCCAGTGAAACAGCACAAAATTGCTGTGACTGTCTGTGATAAAAGCTCATCCTGAGAGATAAAAACGAACTTCAGGGGGTTACTGGTCTGTGAAACAGCTCATTAAATTCGGGCTCGGAGGGGGCTGAGGTTTAGCAGCACGTTCAGAGGAAGGATCATGGTCTGCAAAACCAGAGCCAGCACGGAAGAGCTGGACAGGGGTGACCCCACAGCCGGGGAGCAGCAAGATGAGGAAATGGCCTCAAGCTGGGAGGGTCAGGCTGGAGACTGGGGAAAATTCCTTCATTGGAATTCCTGTGCAGCCCAGACAGTGATGGAGGCCCCATTCCTGGAAGGATTCCACAGCCCTGTGGATGTGGCACTTGGGACATGGGGCAGGGGTGGCCTGGGCAGTGCTGGGGATGGTTGGACTGATGGTCCTGGAGGGTTTTCCCAACCCCAGTGATCCTGTGATTCCTTGCTCCACATTTCCCTTGTGTAACAGCAATTCTATGGCAATTAATTCCCCAAGCCCCACCCAAGTCATTGTGGTACTACAGGGAAGAAAGGGAGCAGGGGATTTCTTTTGGTGGCTTCAATGGCCTAAAGAATTTCATTCCCTTGGATGAAGCACAATAAGACTCTTCATTTGAAGTATTTGCTATAAAGAGGAGGATCCTGCCCCCATCTGGCCTCCCTGGAAGGGAACAGCTGGAGCAAGAAATCCCAGATTCAAAGAGCTGCAAATCCTGCTTTGGAAGGGACTCTCAGGGATCATCCAGCCCAGCCCCTGGCCCTGCTGCACAGGACAGCCACAGGAATCCTTCCCAGCGTCTCTGGGAAGTGCTGGGATGGGAGCACTGAGTCCCCAGCCACTCTCTGAGCTCAGGAACTGACAGTAACCCCAGCTTTGGGTGCAGGTGGATGGCAGGGAAGTGGAGATCATTAGAACCTTCCTGGAGCAGCTCCAGCCCTGCCATCGCTTGGTTGGGATGCAGGTGGGTCCCACTGTGCTGTGTCCTGGGAATATCCACCCTGCCAGGGCGTGCCAAGGGAGCACAGTGCCCTCAGCAAAGCTGTGCCCACACCAGGCAACACAACAAGGATGGTTGAACTCCCTTTGCCTCCCTAAATCCCTGCCACCCCACAGGTTCCCTGTCGCTGCCAGGCAGAGACACCTTCTGGCAAAAGGACCCAGCCTCAGAGCTGGGCCTCCTCCCCAGGGCTGGGAGGAGAAAAAAGGGGGGAAAACCCAATGGTCAAAATCCTGAGGGGCCTCTTGCTTACAGAGAAGCAGAAATAAGGTTCCATTTTAAATCTCCAAGTAGCTGAAGCCCAGATATCCCCCAAGCCCTTCCCCATCCCTGCTCCAGCCACCCTGTCATTCCTTCACTGGGCTCAGCCTGGAACAGTGCTGCTGCTGCTCCTAGCAGCAAAACCCTGCAAGAATGGCATTTTCCCTCCTTATCTCTAAAGGAGACCTCACTTACCAACATGCACAATTCATACATTATCCCAGTGCTCTCTTGGAAACACCAGGAATGAATGGTCTCAACAGACGGTGGGAAAATTGCTGTGCCTGGATTGAGGCTGGCCCTGCCCACAGGATGGCAAAGAGGGGCTGTTCTCCCTGTCCCCAGGAACAGCCCACACTGCTGAACTCTGTCAGCACTGCAGGGTTTCATCCTGGAGAAAAGGAAGCTCAGGGGGGACCTCATTTTTATCTAAACTTACCTAAAAGGAGGGTGCAGCCAGGTGGGGATCAGGGCCTGCTCCCAGGGAATGAGAGGGAACAGCTTCAGGCTGTGCCAGGGGAGGGTGAAGTTGGATATTGGGGAAAATTTCTTCCTGGAAAGGGTTGTGCAGCCCTGGCACAGGTGGGGTGCCCATCCCTGTAGGACAATCCAGACATTGGGATTTCTCTGGAAGATTTGCACATCAAGGAAAATTCAGGACTTTCCTCCATTCAGCACCTAAGCCTTTGCAGCACCTTTGGCATCCCAGGCATGGAGGATCTCCAGGAAATTCCCTGGCCAGCTCCACACAGACACTTTGGTTTATTTGTTGCTTACACAGCTCTGATTTCCCCTATTAACCCAGGTTTCAAAGCCAAACACACAAAAATGACACAACATCCGTGAGGATCCCACAGCACGAGGCCCTCCCTCAGAACTCTTCAACATTTACACTAAATCTTTATTTCTGTACAAAAATTTGGACAATTTTCATTGTTCCCAAGGAAATTTGCATGACTCCATGACTTGCCTACATATATACACACATATATTTGAAACAGAAAAAACCCCTTCCAGTTCTGAAGAATGAAGGTAAAAAACATCAGAACTGAAAAATTAATGACAAGAATTAACTGTATTTATTGTCAATATTGTTGACTATTCTGTAGCTTTACATGTAGTTCATCCCCATATTATAATAAAAACATTCAGAATAACTCAATACAGACTGTGCAACAAGAGAGGAGCGACACAACCTGCAATTTAAAACGTGGTAATAGCATCAAGAAAGTATTAATTATTAAATTAATTAAAAAGTATTATTTAAAAAAAAACAATGAAGGAGAACTCAGCAGTCTTAACTTTCATACACTGAAAAAAAGAGCCAAAAAGTAACAGTTCTGTTCAAAAGCCTATTCACAGTTCCACACACCAGGCACAAAGGCCTAAGGAATGCACAGCTGGGCTAAACCAGACAAAAATAAAGTGTGAGAATGGTGGCTTCTCTTTTAATCACCTAATATTCAACTGGATTCCAAGGAAAACTAAGAGCAGTTTTCAGGAGTTACATCAAAGTCAAGGAACGATGGAGTTAAGAGGGGCAGGCAGGACAAGACCTGGCTTTAAGGCAGCTCAGCATTCCTTCAGCTGCCACAAAAATGTCCCAGGAGAACCATGGAATCACAGACTGGTTTGGGTTGGAAGGGACCCTAAAGATCATTTAATTCCAGCTCCCTGCCATGGCTGGGACACCTCCCACTGTCCCAGGCTGCTCCCAGCCCCAGTGTCCAGCCAGGGATCCAGGGCAGCCCCAGCAGCACCAGGGAGGAACTGCAGAGCCCACCCTGCTGGGAAAGGGTGTCCCAAAGGAAACAGCTCCAGCCAGCACAGCCAAAAGGGGAGGTGGGAGGGTAAGGAATGTGCAAAGGCATTTTGGCATCTCCTACACCATCCCAACAGGGGGCTTGCTGCAATTCCTTATTCCCCAGAACTCCAAGAGCTCTGTGTGTTATTTACAGAGAGGTCACCCCATGGGATCACCCCATGGATGCAGCCAGGGAGGTCACCCCATGGGATCACCCCATGGATGCAGCTGGAAGGGACCCAGGGAGGTCATTCCATGGGATCACCCCGTGGATGCAGCTGGAAGGGACCCAGGGAGGCCATTCCATGGGATCACCCCATGGATGCAGCTGGAAGGGACCCAGGGAGGCCATTCCATGGGATCACCCCATGGATGCAGCTGGGGAGGCCATTCCATGGGATCACCCCATGGATGCAACTGGAAGGGACCCAAGGAGGCCATTCCATGGGATCACCCCGTGGATGCAGCTGGAAGGGACCCAGGGAGCCCCAAGTGCCCGCCCAGGGCTGGTGGGGCTGCAGAGCTGGGCAGGAACTCCCTTTCCAGAGCCAGGGATCTCAAGGCTGGAAAAGCCTTCCAAGGTCACCGAGTCCAAGCTGTGCCCGACCCCCCCTTGGCATCCAGCCCGAGCACTGAGTGCCACATCCAGCCCATGAACACCAATCTGGGAATTTCATCTCCTAACTCAGCTTTGGCCCCATCTCTTTTGCTTTTTAAGAAGTTTCCTGCAGCCCCCAGCACTCACAGGTACCTGTGTGGGATATGTGGGTATGGAAGAGGGGCACAACCCTGGGATTCAGCATTTCTGACAGGAAAACAACATTTCACACTCATTTTAATTCCCATTCTTGACACCAACCAGCACAGACTTATCACCAAACTTGCCCCAAGCAAACCCTCCCCATCACAGACTGGGCAGAACAGCACATTTCACCCCAAAAACACCTAAACAGCCCCAAAAAGCAGGTCAGCAATCACATATTTGCTTGAAAACTTTCACTGCAACTCCCACACACAAAGTTTAATGCAAACAGGCACGTTTTAACAAGTGCTTTCAACTTAAAATCATAAATACTGGTAGGTTTTAAAGAATTAGCAATCGACATTATCCAGAAATGCATAAATATGATGGTACAGAGCTCCCCAGCCCAAATCTGTATTTGCTGCACTTCAACAAGAATTAAGAAAACAGAACGAGTTCCCTTCAGCCGCATGAAAAACAGTCTGAAAGTGGCAAAGGGGAAACAATTCAAGGAATGCTCTGATCACATTTCAGGGGGGAAAAAAAAGTTGCTGAATAGAATCCTGGTTTTCCTTTACTATAATAAATAGCTCTATAAAATGTTTGGGCTAAATCACTTTAATACCCATGCGTGAGTGCAGCCCCAGGGCTGCTCCAGCTGGGAGCTGCCAGCCCTCCCGAGGCTTGGGATTAACGTGAAGCCATCATTTTAAACATTCGGAACTGGCATTTTCCTGCAGTCTCAGCGTTAGCCACGTCCTGGGGAAGGTGACAAAGTCTGGAGGGAGAGAAGCACAAAGTCCAGAGGAGACCCGAGGGAAGCCGAGCGCGCTGTGGGCATTGCTGCGGGCACACGGGGCTGCTCCTCCCCTCTGGACACAGCAGCCCCTGCCTGGAGCCGCTTCTACCCGAGCATCGCGGGGTACAAACCTGCTCCCAGCCCAGCCCTGCACCCTGAGAGAGCTCCGAGGCTGCCGGAACATGCAGGGACGCTCGGCACGGGCACAGTGACACCGGGGCTGTCCCCATGCCTGGCTCACACAGCCCCATCCCACAGCTACGGGCCCCCAGCCTGAGCTGGTTTTGGGTTTTAGCCTCTCCACAGAATCCAGCTTCTCTTGGCCCCCTGCTCAGTCAGACAAGGAGAGCACTGAGCTGAGGATGGCCAAGGAAGGATTCCCAGCCTCCCAGGTAAAGCAGCATTTTCTGGCTTCCTCCACTCTCAGCCGAGTTTTGTACACTTACAAACAGGAAAAGCTTAAAAACCCCGCCCAGCTCTGTCCTTACCCAAAGTCTGGCTTAAAAGGCTCGGGGTGGTAAAGTGACTCCACTGTGGATAAAGCTACAACAGAAAAATTCACTGGTAAGGCCCTCTTAAGGCAAGGAGAGAATTCCTGCTCATGATTCTCACACATGAAATAAAAAGCTGCAGAGGCAGCCCCTTATAATTCATCATTTTTGGCCATTTAATGCATTCACCACTACAATATATTCAAGTCACATCTGGATTTATACCCAGGCCACATCTGGATTATCACATGAGTGCAAAGACATTTTCCTTCCTCAATGCCACGGGATCAGCCCTGCCCTGCCCAGGGCTGCTCAGCACATTCAGCTCAATTAGCTGAAAGGTACTTTTCATACCTAATTAATCTGACAGTGACAGCCTTCAGTGTTCCACCAGCCAGCGTGGACGGAAGCACTGCCACCAGCAGCTTCCCAAGGCCAAGGATTCCTGGAATGAGTTATTTAAAGTCCCTTGACAGGAATTCCAGCCAATCAACAAGGACAAATTCAGTATTTCCTGTCCCAAACTCAGTGATGCCTGATAAATGGAAAAGTGCTTGGAATGGCAGGGATAGGAGAACTGTAACCAATTTATCATAAATCCTGTTAAAACTTGGGTGTGGGGAGGGGAAAACCCACTCACTTCCACACACTGGGAGGCTTTTATAGATACATATCTCTATTCTAAGGGAATGGGAAATAAAGCTGATTATGGAATTAGATTTAGGCACTTGAGCTGCAGAGATGTGGAAGGTGCTGGTCAGGTGCATTTAGCATTCACACACCTACACAGTGCTCAGCAGAGCAGCTGCTCAGCCTCCCAAAAAGAAAAGATATTAAAAAATGAAGCTGTTCACATTCCCCAGGTTTATTTTCCACCTCTCCTCACAATTAAAGACCTGTATAATTCCCAGATGCCAGAAGCAGCATATTCCAGAGATGATTTACCAAACTGATGATCTTCTGAACCAAAAGAAACAGTTGAAATATCAGATTATTGAAATATGACCTTTTTCTCTGCTACTAAAATGTCATTTTTCAGCATTACTTCAAAAACCATTTTTAAGGCCCCTCCCTTTTGCTAAGAATGAATTTCATGGAGAACAAAGGCAAAGCTTGAGCTGGAAGCCAAGGCAGCAGAACCCCGAGGGTGAAACAGCAGCATCACACACCAAGGTCAGGGCCAGGGCAAGGAACCCCTGCCCTGCAATCCCCAGGGGGAGCAGCACCGAGGCAAAGCTCCCTGCACTGGCTGTGGACAGAGCTGGGACAAAAATGGCAATTCCCCTGCAGGGAAAAGAAAAACGCTGTCAACAAGGAGCACTCACACAGAACACAAAGGGGTTGAGAGATCAAAAGTTTGGCTGCTCCTCTCAGTGGCTAAATTTAGAACATTTCTGAGTTCACACACGTGCACTTCAAACACCATCACAGCAAATATTCCAGGTGAGAGTCTGGAAATGATCACAGAGTCTGGAATTGATCACAGCAAATATTCCAGGTGAGAGTCTGGAAATGACCACAGAGTCTGGGATTGATCACAGCAACCACTCCAGGTGAGTCTGGGATTGATCACAGAGTCTGGAATTGATCACAGCAACCATTCCAGGTGAGTCTGGGATTGATCACAGAGTCTGGAATTGATCACAGCAACCACTCCAGGTGAGTCTGGGATTGATCACAGAGTCTGGGACTGATCACAGCAACCACTCCAGGTGAGTCTGGGATTGATCACAGAGTCTGGAACTGATCACAGCAACCATTCCAGGTGAGTCTGGGATTGTCACCTCTGCTGACCATCTCTACAGACTGAAAATCAGCATTTAAACCCCAAAAGCCCTGGACAACACCACAACGTGTCAGGAAACATCAGCCACGGCTGAATTCTGGCTACATTTGCCCTGAAGAACACAAAATAACACAGAAAGCTGACGGTGACCCAAGAGACGTTTGCAGTCAGGTTAACACTGGGTTGTTCACTGACCAACACCCAAGAACAATTGAATGTTGGCATCCCAAAGCCCCGAGGGCACAGAGAGCCCTGTCTGACAGCCAGTCCTGGGGTGTGCAGGCACTCCCAGGCCTGCTGTGGTCACTGGGGAAACCAAGACAAGGTGAACCTCAGAGGCCACAGCAAGGGAAGTGGCACGGGGAGGGAAGGGTAAAACCAACCTAAGCCATGTGTAAACACAGAGTATCTGCTTGGAACACAAGCCACACCTGCATCATCGGACAGAGCTCCTGCAAATGCACCAGCAAGCAGCAGAAACCCCAGCACTGCTCCAGCACCAACAGCAGCAGCTCCTTTTCTCAGCAACCAGCCCCCAGCTCACCCAGCCTGCGTGGATTCAGCCCAGGGAAGACATAAGACTCAAAAACCAAACACTTGGGTTTAGAAGCAAGTCTGCTTTTTCTTTTTTTTAGACTAGAAAATGTACAATTCCATTTCATATGCAAGTGTGCACAGAGCTCGTTGCTTGTAGATACTGTCAGAGAAACTGAGAGAGTCTTTGCATTAAATTGTTAATTCTTCAAACATTGATACATTTTGCAATATACCAGTTAAATACCAAGATCTATGTGCATGCACTAGAGATATATGCATGTACACCTTAATGTTTAACAAAGACAGCAGATCCCCCAGCCAGGGAGCGTTGGAGATACCAAAAATAGATTAAAAAGTTAAATTCTCTACCTGCCTTTGTTAAATACAGACTTAGAGATTGCCTCCCCTCCTTTCCCCAGGATTCCCATGCTCCCAGGGATGCAGGTGGGAAGGAAGGCAGGAGCTGACCAGATTATCCCAGAACCAAAGAGAAGCACCTTAAAAAGTTCAAACTAAGCTTTAAAATGCCTTTTCCATCCTTACCAGGCATGGGGCTGAGAAAGGGAAGAACATTTTAAACACAGTTTTGTTTCATTTTGCTGAACTCCCAATGCATCTCCCACAGAAGAGCCTGACATTTCCAACCATGCCACTGCCTGGATCCTCTCAAGTGGGAATTCTGACCCCCCTGTGCCTGGGGCAGCCATCCCAGCAGGAGCTGCAGCAGGGAAAGGTGATCCTAATGTTGTTCCCACACTGCCTGGGGACCATGCAAGGGGGTTCTGCTCTCAAAAGGTTCTGCCCTGGAACTCGTGTGGGTCACTTGGAGCTTTTCAAGTAGTGTCATCTGCTTTGTCCCCAGCCAGTCCCCTCCACTGCATATTGATGCATCTGCACATTTTAGTTTCTGCACATTTTATGTAGCAAAGAGAGTTTTTCATCTGAAAAACGCTTCACTAGAGTCTGACTTGTACGATTCCAGTGACACTTTCAAACATACTTTTGTGCCTCTTCTTTGGTTAAGAAAAAGAAAAGATACTTTTCCCTTTTTGACAGCCAAAGGTATTTCTGCCAGACCTGAATCAACCAGCACAGCAGAGAAGGAAAGCAGTGGACAGGACCTGCAGCATCACCCAATCCAGTGATGACCACAATAAAAGAGGAAAACCCATTTCATCTGCCATTCTTTGGCAAATTTGTTCTGTTTGCCAACCCTGGAATTCGAAGCTCAATCCATGTGCCTCAATCGATTCCAGCCTCCTCCCTAATCCAAGAATCATGTGGGAAAACAAGCAATGGGCTGAAGAGAGAGTTTGTTGGTCAGGTTGTGCAGAGCCAAGGTGTGATTGACGTTACGGCCGTACGGACACGGAGGGACGGGTGACACGGGGACGTGGCCGTGTCACAGATTAGCACTACTGCCAACATACTGATTCAGCTTTACACTGGTCTGAGCAGATTGCAATTCACCTAGGATTGAGGTATAAATATACACAAATATGTACAGTACACATACAGGGAAAGAGTTCTGCCTTTGTAACGTGGGCCACCTCAGAAACGCTGGAGAGTCGATGCCTACGCCAGTGATTTCCTGGGATAATGAACCAACAGCTCCCACTGGAGAGGGCTGCAATGGGATCAGAAAACTCTGCATTAAAAGCTCCTTCCCCTGTCTCCATCCTCCCCAGGCCCAAGGCCAGGCTGTTCCGAGGGGCAGCTTGGAAAGGAGGTTGGTCACAGCTCTGAGCGCGTCCTCCGAGGAGCCCGACCCAACCTGGAGCCCCGAGTGCTCCTGTGCCTGCTCCCAGCTCCTGTCCGTGTGTCTGTCTGTGTCTGTGTGTGTGTGTGTGTGTGTGTGTGCAGCTATGTAGAAAATACAGTTGCCATCAGTTCAGTATAAATACATCCACCCCACCAATCTGCCACTGGAACAGCTCTGCTGCAGCAATGTCTGTGCAAAGAGGTCATTAAAAATCATCTGATCTTCAGCCGGGACATCATCCACTCCAGTCCTTGGCACAGCCTGGGGACACAAGACACAACATTTAGGGAATGCTGGCACTCCTCAGGATAACTCCAAAGGTAACTCCATGCACCAGTTTAAACTCATCCCAAGAATTCCCAATCATTTCTGGAAACTCCTCACTCCCTGCATGGCACTTCCTAGATCTTATTATATCATCTATGGCCAGAGAATTCAGATTCCAGATCTTCAAGACATGAAGTTCTCTCTAATTAGGATCATTCTTAATAAACCACATTTCAGTTTGCCCCCACTTCATCCCACCTTCATTAAGCCCAAATCATATCAAGTCTTATCTCTGTGAGGTGACATAACGGATTTTATGTAGATTTGGTGTTCTGAGCCCAAAAATCTTTTAAGTATCAAGATTATGAAGCTGTGATGCCCTGGCACAGGTGCCCAGAGAAGCTGTGGCTGCCCCTGGATCCCTGGAATTGTCCTAGGCCAGGCTGGACAGGGCTTGGAGCAGCCTGGGACAGTGGAAGGTGTCCCTGCCAAGGCAGGGCTGGGATGGGATGAGTTTAAGGTCCTTTCCAACCCAAACCATTCTGGGATTCTGGACAGGGCAGGAATGTGTGTTAAAGCCAAACACCACTATACAACCCCAGAATAATTCCAGCTTCCTCTCCTGTGGACACAAATCCCTCTTACCCCTCTCCAGTGAGAGCACAGCAGGCCTGAATGTGCCACTGGTGATCCTTAATTGAAGTCAGCTTCAGGAACTGGGAGATCTCAGCTACTGTCATGCACTCCTTCACATCCTGCTTGTTAGCAAAGATCAGCAGCCCTGCTTTCTTCAAGTCCTGGGGAGAAAGGACAGGAGGTCATGACAGAGCAGAGCAGAGCAGCCCTTGGAGGCAGAGGAGGGGACACCAGAGCCCCAGCCAACAATGCTCCAGAGCAAAGTGCTGCAGGAGCTGCAGGAAATCCCCTGATCCAGCTCAGCAAACAGCCAATGCCTGCCATGGATGAGGAGTAAAAATCTCAGCACAACGTTTTGCTGTGCTCCATGAGGATCAGAGCCCTGTGCACCCCTGTACCTGAGTGTCACAGACATCTTTTATGGAAAATCCTTTCCTTAGGGTTTTTCCTCCTGAGAAGCTGAGAGGCCTCAGGAGCAAAATGTACCCAATGGTTATCTGCTGCTGTGGAATGCAACAGGAACAAAATGTACCCAATGGTTATCTGCTGCTGTGGGATGCAACAGGAACAAAATGTACCCAGTGGTTATCTGCTGCTGGGGAATGGAACAGGTGGGTCTGGGATTGGGCTCATGGGGTTGTTTCTAATTCATGGCCAATCACAGCCCAGCTGTCCAGACTGTCTCAGTCAGTCACAAGCCTTTGTGGTCATTCCTTTCTATTCTCAGCCAGCCTTCTGATGGAATCCTTTCTTCTATTCTTTTAGTATAGTTTTAATGTAATATATATCATAAAATAACCAATCAGCCTTGTGAAACATGGAGTCAGATCCTCATCTCTTCCCTCATCCTGGGACCCCTGTGAACACCACCACACCTGAGCAGCACTGACAATCTGAACAGTGACTCCAGGGATAAGCTTATTTTACCTCAAATTGCCTGGGATTACATGAAGGCACAGGTATATTATTGCAAATCTTTCCCTTGGAAAGCAAAAAGGTGTTCCCAGGAAGCCAGGCCAGCTCAAGCACTGAGCTGCCAATCAGGCACACTCCTGTTTGCAAGCAGCCAAATTAATTCCCAAATAATCAACTGCTCCAGAAAATAGCTGGAACTGAGCTGGACAACTCAATTTTGCCTTAACAGCAACTCCATGGAGCCGGCTAGGAGAAAGAAAAGGTTTTCAAGGAGCAAAGAAAAGCGATTTAAAATCAATATTTGACTTTCATTGCTGCTCTCTCCCAACGTCACAGCCACGTCTGGAGAGGGAGCCTGGGAACATCCTGCAGGGACACAAAGGGCACATTCACTGCTCCCAAATCGGCTCCACTCTGCCTGGAATTCCAGACCTTCCCTGCGGCAAAATCAGCTCGTTAACAACTTCATCCTCCTTGAGAGAGCAGGAAACAGAAGATGCAGGTTTTTGCAACAGCCTGAGGAGTCCAGCTCTGAAATCCCAACCCTGAACAGCACCACCAAACCACCCCCCCCGTGCCACATTTAACATCCCACAGCCTCACCTGCTCTTTTAGAATTTATTTTATTAAAAACAACTTCAATTAAACATCAAACATTTAAAAAACAAAACCAAGAAAATAAAACAAAACAAATAAAACCCACAAAAATATTAAAACTTGAAAGATCCTCTGCAAAGCCCTTGTTTTTCCTCAAAGGAAATCCATGGGAGGCTGTGCCCTTCCTGCAGGCTCCCAAACCGTGGCTATAGGTTAAATATAGATGGAATATTTTAGGCTATAATTCCATCATTTTTATGCATATTTTTTTTATTCTGACACTTAAATGTGGAAGCTTGGTGTCAGCTCACACACCCTGATCCAGTTTGCATTCAGGTCATGCCACAGATGCTGCCTGGCTTTTACATCAGCCCAGCTCAGGTTTAGACCTGACCCAGGGCTCAAGTTTAAGGAGGCAATTAGCCCAATTAGTACAATTCAGCAATTCCCACTCTGGAATTCCAAACACCCCCAGAGCAGTGGCTGCTGCAGCCACGGGCTGCAGTTCCTTCAGTTCCAGAGCTGGGTGCTCTAGCACACATTGTAAAGGGTTCTAAAACCTCAGGCAACCATGAAGATATAAGAAATAAGTATTAAATTATTGCAGGATAATTTTTTTATTATTTAAAGGCTCTAATTCAGATATTAACATGGACTGAAGTCCAAAACCCACAGATGTCCCTGACAGGTCCCAGCTGCTGTTTCCCTGGAGCACCCTGACAGGCTACTTCTGTAATTCAGTATTCATGAACAGCTTTGCTGGGAGTTTCACAGAACACAGTGCAGCAGGGACAAGGCAGTTCAGGGTGTAGATCTGCTGCCCTTGGCGTGGATCAGCCAGATCATGAAAATAAATATTAAAATAAGTACTAAAACAAATGTTAAAATAAATATTAAAGACACAGGGTGCACTCACCTCGTGGGCTAACATTTTATACAGCTCTTCTTTAGTCACAGAAATTCTCTCTCTGTCTGTGCTGTCCACCACAACTATCACAAACTGCAAAAAGGGAGAGTTATTAGGCAGAGAAACTCCTGCTGTTCCCACTCCCAGCCCATTATCCAGCTGGATTATCAGACCCCATCCCTGCTCCCAAACCCCCCTCCAGCACCAGTAATCCCAGTTATTCACTCTTGTGCTGTGCTCTGGGGACAAGGCAGCTCTGACACAACTTTTTACTTTCTGTTCTCCATTTTTCAGTGAAAAATTCATATTGAAAGCAAGAAAATTCTCTGTAATCCCAGATCTGGTTTTGTTCTTTTCTTGGTGTAGCTGAGGCACCACACAAAAATCCCTCAAATCATTTGTTGCAGTCTATTAAAACCAAGTGAATAATTTTTCTTTGTCTAGGTCAAGAACTAACATCCAAGTAGGTATTTGCATGGGATTTAAAAAGTCCTGAAGCTCCAAACTCCAAGAACACCCTCCCAGCTTCATTTAGGCTGGAAAGGAACTTTAAGGAATCACAGCACCTCATAAGGATGAACTGGAGAACAACGGTAATTATTGTGATAATTGCATTTACCCATACAAAATGTAATTAGTATAACATAAATATTTAAATATAAATTAAATATTGAAACATTTATACTATTGATATTCATATTATTTATAAATATAATATAGATATTTAAATTTTATTTGGTAACATATAGGAAACCTTGATTTAAAGCATTATTTTTATGTGTGCTTGATAATATTTATATATATATGTGTGTGTGTATGTATATATATGTATGTATATGTATGTATGTGTATGTATGTATCTATATGTATGTATGTATATGTATGTGTATGTATGTATCTATATGTATGTATATACGCATGTGTATATGTATATATATGTATATATATACACATCTCTGTGTGTATGTATATGTATGTATGTATATATGTATGTATATATATATACATGTGTGTGTATGTATGTGTGTGTATGTATGTGTATGTATGTATGTATATGTATGTATGTATATGTATATATTTACACATGTGTGTGTACTGCAACTGCACCTCTGAAAACTCCTGGGGGTGTTTAAGCTGGTGATGACAGGAGCTTGTGAGGCAGAGCTGCCAAGGTTTCGGAGGGAACTTTGGGGCTGCCAGGCAGGTTTTGGAGCACCCACTGCAGGGAGAGTGAGTGTGCACACAGCAAGGTGGGATGAGCCATTATTCCCAGACACAGCAAGGTGGGATGAGCATTCCCAGACACAGCAAGGTGGGATGAGCCATTATTCCCAGCCACAGCAAGGTGGGATGAGCATTCCCAGCCACAGCAAGGTGGGATGAGCCATTATTCCCAGCCACAGCAAGGTGGGATGAGCCATTATTCCCAGCCACAGCAGGGTGGGATGAGCATTCCCAGCCACAGCAGGGTGGGATGAGCATTCCCAGAGAAGCACAGAGGCAGCCCCAGAGGCAGAGAGCAGAGTGGCAGGGGCAGGCAGGCAGGGCTGTCACCTCGGTGTTGGTGTAGTAGGTGTTCCAGGAGGAGCGCAGGGACTCCTGCCCCCCGATGTCCCACATCAGGAAGCGCGTGTTGTTCACCACGATCTCCTCCACGTTGCTGCCGATGGTGGGAGAGGTGTGAACCACCTCGTTCATGGAGCTGCACGGGGAACAGGGAAAGGGACAGGACAGTCACCCAGAGGCACCCCTGGAACTGCACCCCACGGAGGGAACCTCAGCAAACACTCCCTGGGCAGCCAAGGCAAGGGGTGGTGGTGGTGGAAGGTGCAGAAACGTAAATGAAAACAGCAATAAAAAGGACTCACTGAACTATGTAATAATCAAATTATAGAGCTGAGAGAGCACTTGTGAGCAAAATGTGTTATAATTAATTAAACCATGGAGCTGAGAGCATTTTTGCTTCAGAGGCTTTTGGGAGCGCTCAGCTCTTCCTTCTCCAGGCCCATTTTGGCTGAGATGGGACAGAGCAGTTGTTTTGCTTCAAGAATGTGGTGAAGCCACAAGATTTCCAAGGTTTCAGAAAAACAACAACTCATCCTCCAGCTCCACCAGAAACACTTCACCCACTCCATCCCGCTCTCCTGCCAGGGCAGGCCACTAAAACCAGACTTTCTTCACAATGCTTCTGTCCTAACTTCCTCCTCTTCTCCCCTCAGCACAGTCCATACACAACTTTTTGGAGACAAATGGCAGCCATTAAATATTTCAAATGTACTGTTTAGAGATACTGAGTGTGACTTTGTCACTAAGAACATCAGTTTCACATCAAACAACCAAATGTGTGCTCTGGATGCTCTGAAAGTTCAGACTATTTAAACTCTACTGTAACAGGCAAAAAAATTAACAGTAGCTCCAAGGCAAACCATCTGTGTTCAAAAGAACTTAATTATTTTTTCTTCTGATCATCTTGATATGGCTTTTCATTTTGTATGAACCTTTTTGAAGTTGCAGCAGGGCTTTTAGTTACAGTGACAGCAATTTGAGACTTGTAATGCTGCTGGGATATTTCCTGAAGAGGATACAGAGAGCCAAGGAGATAAAGGGATGGTGCAGTGCTCTGAAAAACAATCCCAGTTACCCTGGGCCAGTGCAAGGAGAGCTGAGTATGAGAATGGGAGACAAGGAAGTGTCTGCAAGAGGAAAAATGGGATCTGCAAAGATGGGCTAGGGTCAAGGAGGAGTAAGGCAGGAGAATAGGGGACCTGGGAAAGTCCTGTGGAGTCAAAGTGGGTACAAAGAAAAAGGAGACAGCCAGAGATCTGTATGAGAGGGAAAAGAAAGCACTGAAACTGCAGAAATAAGGGGAAGAACTGCGAGACATTTGTGGAGGAAGTGGATTAAAAACCACCAAGGACGGCCCTCAGCTGCAGTTTCCAGTCTTAAGAAATACCCTTCACTCTCTTTGTGCTTTTTAACATCTCTCACTCCCTCTATAAATCACCATCACCTTCACCTTTCACTGTCCCTGCAGCATGGCAGGGCACCAGCAGCCAGAAATGTTTGGGGAAAGGCAAAGCAGGTCAGGATGTGACAAACCCCAACCACTTCCAGAAAGCCAATTTGAAATGTGGGCTTGGAGCAGCATGGCCACATCATTGAACAGGAATTATTTCTGACTCAGGAACACTCCTCAGTGGCACGTGGGAAAGGGCCAATCTGTCCCCACACAAACAGACCTTGAGCTGCCTGTGCCACCCAGCAGCTTCTGAGCCTGTGGACAGATTGGTGTCCTCTATCAAACTGCAGCTGGGGAACTGAGATATGAAACTCATTTGAGCTCCATGTAAACCAGGAGCAAGGTTAATGCCAGGCAAACACAAATCAATGCTGCTGTGGAAAGCAAAGGTGCAGGACAGCAGGGAGGTGTTTGTCCTGGGCTTGTGCTGGTCCAGCCTTCCTCCTTCATGGCATCCCACAAACAGCACCAAACTGATCTCAGCGCTGGGGACACAAGTCAGGGCAGGCAGAGGTGCTGTGCCACTCACAGAATGATCTGTCTGCTGTTCAAATCTCTGGCGTGGATCAGTTTTGCAACAGTGTCCCGTGGCCAGCACTCACTCCAATCATATTTTATGGGGCTGGCAGAGAGCCAAGGCTGTGACACCAAGGGTGGCTGGGAGTGCAGTGGGAACAGCAGGTGATGTGATCCAAACCCCCCAAACAAAACCTCCTTCATCCAGCAGAGCCCTTCCCAAACTGCAGGCACCCTCTGGCACCTGGAAAGCTCCGAGTGAAAGCACCCAGGGCCACGGAGCACACCTGGAAATGCCCCAAGTGTCCCCACAGGTGCTACTTACAATTGGTACAGAATGGTCGTTTTCCCTGCATTGTCCAGGCCCACAATGATCACCTTGTGCTCTGCAATGAAAACAGCACTGGTAAGTCACAGCTGCTGGGGCTGGATCAAAGTGAGTGCCACGTTTGCCTCTGGTTTCCTGAGCCAGCAGAGCCCAGCTCCAGGTGCCGTGGCCAGGTGTGTTTGTGGGCCAGCCCAGGAAGTTTCTGCGGGCAGGGAAGGGACTGGCACCTTCTCCCCCTCCACAGAACCATTCCTGAGAGATCTCAGAAGGATGTTTTCCATCCCTGACTGCCAGGGTCACGCTGGGATCCTCTCCCAAGCTCCTGCAGGCTTTTGCAGCCTGTATCACACTGCATCCCCCCAGCCACAACAGCTCTCAACTCCACTTTCCACTTTGCAGCTCTCAACTCCACTTTCTCTTCACCCAGGCAATCTCTTGATGTCTCTGCAAAGAGCAGGTAAAACCCAGCCAGGCTGGTGTGATTCCTGTGCCCCCCTTTCCTCCTGGGCAACAGATGTGCCCTCCAACATTTCACTGGACACATTCACCCAGTCTGGCCTTGGACAAGTCACCAGGTGCTCCACAACCCACCTCTGACATTTTGGAGCTCAGTGCCCTGATCAATTCTTGCCTCCCTTCAGCAGCTCCTCTCCTGTGCATCACAGAAGTGGCTGGGAACTCTACAACTGGTGGTGTCAAGCACATCCAAACTGATGATTTCCAGTTTGGGAGAGAACAGCCAGCTCTCAGCTCTGTTACACAACTTTCACTTGCACAACCAAGCAGGACCAGTCAAGTAAAAGCTTGGTGAGAAGGGGGTTTCTCCCCTCCTCCCCTCCTTCCCTGTGTTCCTCAAGGGCAACAAAAAGCATTAAAAACAGACCCAAGGCTCAGACACTGAGATCAATCCCTGCCAGCAAATTGATTTATCCCACAGGAGAGGGAGGGGACAGGGGTCAGGTAAGTGGGGCTTTCTGGGGTTTGATTTTACCAATATTGTGTGGTTTTGCAGAGTTGTCTTTCATGCCCTCCAACACAAATTCCAGCTTTAGTAACTTTGCACAACTGCACAATATTGTAAAAGTGTCTGCTTACCTGACCCCACATAACTAGGAACTTTTGTTTCAGGTGGGATGCTGCCAGCATAGTGGATGTTAGGAAATCAGTTGGAACAGAAGGTCTGAGGTGGGGCTGGACGCTACAAGACAAAAATATTTTGCTGTATTTGCACTACACTTTAACGGGGACATAACTGGGACATTCAACCAGCAGGTGTGAGAGTATGAGCTTCACTCTAAATCAAATTCCAAGGACTTCAGAAACATGGAAAGAGCATCGGGAGGTGTTTTGTAGTTAAAGTTACAACTCTCATGAACACCTTGCTGGAAGGAGACAGGTGTTAAAAACCCCAGAATCCCGGAATGGTTTGGGTCGGAAGAAAAATCAAAGATTATCCAGTGCAACCCCCCTGCCATGGGCACGGACACCTTCCACCGTCCCAGGCTGCTCCAAGCCCTGTCCAACCTGGCCTGGGACACTTCCAGGCATTCAGGGGCAGCCACAACTGAAGCTATAAATAACATTTACTTCGTGAACGAGCCACTTATCGAGCATTGCCACTTAAACCCACACTATGCCGACAGCAGGACGAACCCACCCGCCACGCCGCGCCACAGCCGTGCTCCTCTGAGGAGCACACGTTAATAATTTAACAGGCGGCTGTCAGGAAATGAGCACTCCAGTAATTGAAAGAAGGTGGGAAAAAAAAAAAAAAAGGTTAAAGCCCCCGACTTCCAGGAGCCCGTGCGGCCGCCCCGGAGCGGCTGTGGGTCCCTCCCGGATCCCCCCGGGCCTCACCCTGGTGGTTGAAGAGCCTCCATATCCTGGTGAAGAGGATCCCCATCCTCGGCCGGGCGCTCCGGGCCTCGCCGGCCGCGGCTCTGCGGGGCCGCGGGCGCTCAGGGCCCGGCGCAGCGCCCCGAGTGCCGGCTGGGGCCGCGCCGGGGCCGCTGCCGCTCGGACATCGCCGCGGGGTCGGGACGGGGCTCGGGACGGGGCTGGGGAGCGGCAGCGGCGGCAGAGGCGGCACCGGGAGCGGAGCAGCGCCCGCGGCCGCCTCACGGACGGGCCGGGCCGGGCCGGGCCGGGCGCGCTGCGCTGACGCGCGGGGGCGGCACCGTGGCCGCCATTACACGGCACCGCCTCAGCGCGCCCGGCTGAGCGGGGCGACCGCGCCGGGCTCCGTCAGACCCGCTGCCCTCCGCGCCAGAGCGCCGGGCTCCGTCAGACCCGCTGCCCTCCGCGCCAGAGCGCCGGGCTCCGTCAGACCCGCTGCCCTCCGCGCCAGAGCGCCGGGCTCCGTCAGACCCGCTGCCCTCCGTGCCAGAGCGCCGGGCTCCGTCAGACCCGCTGCCCTCCGTGCCAGAGCGCCGGGCTCCGTACACCCACTGCCCTCAGTGCCAGAGCGCCGGGCTCCGCACACCCACTGCCCTCGGAGCCTCTGCGGGCGACAGCGCCGGGCTCCCGCACACCCACTGCCCGCGGGGGCCGAGAGCGCCGGGCTCCGCACACCCACTGCCCGCGGAGCCTCTGCGGGGCGACAGCGCCGGGCTACCGTACACCCAGTGCCCGCCGTGCCAGAGGCCGGGCTCCCGCATACCCAGTGCCCGCGGGGCCGAGAGCGCCGGGCTCCCGCATACCCAGTGCCCGCGGTGCCAGAGGCCGGGCTCCCGCACACCCAGTGCCCGCGGTGCCAGAGGCCGGGCTCCCGCATACCCAGTGCCCGCGGTGCCAGAGGCCGGGCTCCCGCACACCCACTGCCCTCGGAGCCTCTGCGGGGTGACAGCACTGGGCTCCCGCACACCCAGTGCCCGCGGTGCCAGAGGCCGGGCTCCCGCACACCCAGTGCCCGCGGTGCCAGAGGCCGGGCTCCCGCACACCCACTGCCCGCCGTGCCTCTGCGGGGCCCGCAGCCCATCCCGGCCCTGCCCTGCCACGGGCACGTCCCGCTTCACAGCTGATCCTGGCAACCGGGCCAGGGCCTCGCCGCTCTCACTGCCAGGGATTTCTCTCCGGTACCGCATCGAAATCACCCCCTCCCTTCAGGTTTAAGCCGTTCCTCCCTCCGTGTGCTGTTCCTCCATGCCTTGTCCCCAGTCCCTCCTCTGGAGCCCCTTCAGGCCCTGCCAGGGGCTCTGAGCTCTGCCTGGAGCCTTCCCTTCTCCAGGGGAGCATTCCCAGCTCTCCCAGCCTGGCTGCAGTTTATGGAGAAACCACGTTCACTTTGCCCTACTAAAACTTGGGTGTTCTGAGGAAAACTTGGGAATAACGTGGGTGAAGTTTCTCCCCAGGAGCTGCGGGTGAGTTTGCATGAGGGCACTTTTGGCACTGGAATGGACTCTAAGATCTACCAAGAGCCTTCTCTTCCCTGAGATAAATTTCTCTCTGTCCAAACCCTCCACTGAGTTTAAATCCTCGTGGATTTGGAAATCCCAGACAATAGCATTAGGTTGTGGCACAGCTGTGTTGCTGGCTGAGACAAGACATGGGGTATTTGTGCTCTCACTTGTCCTGGCCCTGACGGTAATAATTTGTGATGTAGGTACTGAATAAAGTTTTACATCTCTTGTGTCTCAGTATTCATTGAAACTAATAATAGAATAAAATCTTTTAAAACCTCTCAGTTACTCCATCTCTGTAAAAACTAAGAAGACCAACACCTGACACCCAACTCCTTCCCCTGCCATGTCAGGGACACCTTTAACTGTGCCAGGCTGCTCCAAGCCCCAGTGTCCAGCCTGGCATGGGACATGAAATCTCCTTCCTTATTCCAGAGGTTTTTCATCTTTCCTCCGAGCAGTTTTTATTCCCAAGCAACTTCTTGTGTTTAATTTTCCCTGCTGGTCTGGAACCAAAGCAGCAAGGCCAGAGTGATCTCCAGTCCTCTGTGTCCAGAGACTTCGGTGTTTCCTGTGGCTCTGGAGGAGAACTCATGGCCCTGAAGAGTTTAAGAAGAGAAATATCCTGGTAGCCCACTGTGCCATCCATCCCGCTGCCATCTGCACAGCTCTGGGTCCTGGCAGCGCGGGTGAGCTCCTCCGCTGTAAAACATTCCGCAAGTTCAGCATCCAGCCTGCAATGGCGTTAATTATTCATTAGCTGGCAATTATCCCCCTTTCTGCCGGTCCTCAGCTTGGAATTTCAGAAGCACTCGGCGTTCGTCTCTGTTCTCAGCTCTCCGGGGCTCGGGACAGGGTTCGGTGGCTGCACAGCTGCGGCAGAGCTACCAAAGTTCAATTAAACCGTTTATTCTGATTATTTAAATAAAAAGCTCAGAGGATTCCCTCCCGTGTCACTTGTTTGGGTTTTTTCCTAGGGCAGCCTGGCTGAACCCGGATCGTACTGCTGGTTTTTATGGGCTAAGCTGGGCTTCCCAGTGCTGCTGGAAGCTTTCTAGGAAAGCATTCCAGTGGGCAGGGCTGGTACAGCCTCGCAATTCCCTCCTGGAAATCTGGGAGGGATTTTCTCGGGTCGTGTACTGCAATTCCCCCCTGGAAGTCTGGGAGGGATTGTTCGGGTCGTGTACATTTTGTTCCAGCTGTAGCACAGACAGGGTCAGGGAGTCTGTGCTGGGGAAGTGCTTGGAATGCCGACAGAAGGATTTCACCATGGAAATGCTTCTGTGCAGGAAAAAACCCAGAGAGAATATGGGATGGCTGGGGTTAGAAAAGGCCTCCAAGATATCTGAGTCCAACCATTCCCAGCACTGCCCCGTGTCCCCAAGTGCCACATCCACTTTGGAATCCCTGCAGGGATGGGGACTCCACCTGAGCACTTTTTCCTGATGGAATTTTCCCCAAAATCCACCCTGAGCTGTTCTGGGGCTCCAGCCCCTTCCCCAGGACACAGACAACTTAAGCAGCTTAAGAAATTTTAACCCCAAGGATCATACGAAAACACACAAAAGGCGTTTTTTTGCTCAGTTATATTTATTTGAAAACCCTCCTGCTTTTCATCAACAGCTGAGATGAAAACCCATGCCTCAAGATCTGATTTTGAACACAGAGCCAAGAAAGTCCATTAAACAGAATTTTAAGAGCTGTAGATCTGCCTGAGGGTGCAGCTCACCTGGCCAACGTGCTCCTGTCCCTCCAAGGCAAGGTTTGGGTGCTCACAGCATCTCCCTGAGGTTGCTGGTTCCTGTTTCTCCTCTTTGGGAAGAGGAGGCTGGAATCTTCCAATGCTTCTTCCAAGATTCCAATGGAATCTTCCAGAGGCAGCATCTTCCAATGCTTTCAGTTTTCCAAGACACCATAAATGGCTGGAGGTGGCACTCAGGTGGTGGGGCTCAGTCACAGTTGGACTCAATGGCCTTGGAGATCTTTTCCAACCTTCACCATTCTGTGATAAACTATTAATTATAATTATCCAATCCTTCATCCCTCCCATCATTCTGCCCCTTGTTTCTGCCTAGGAACCAGTCCAAGGAGATCCCACCAAGGACCAGCTCCAAACCCCTGACCATTCCCAAGAATCCTTCAAAGGAGCAGTTGGCTGCCAGTACCTCGTTCCCTGCTGGATCAGCAGGAATTATCTGTATTTTTGTACTTCTGGGTCACAGCTATTTAAGCTCGTTACAAAAATAAACATCATTTATTTCGCAGAGCAGATGCATCTCCTTCTTCAGAACCTCATTAAATTTTCCTAAAAACGCAACACGTGAGGCTGCTGCCAAAATCTATTGGCAGACAGCAAAAATGCCACAGGACTCCGGGTTTCTCCTGAGCATCTTCCCAGTCTTACTGCAGGACACAAAGACACTGGACAGACTTTTAAACGCTTGGTAGTTTTGTTCATTTATTGTAGAAAAGTTATTGTAATGCAGTTCATCTTTGTACATCTAAATTCCAGAAAACGAATCCATAGAAATGAGGATACTATGGGCATGCAGTCTGCATGATCCTGGTCACAAAAATAACACCACTTTTTTTTTTTTTTATTCTTTTTTTTTTTTTTCCCCAATTTTTGTAGTTTTCTTTGAAAGCCACTAAAAGCAGAGGGAGAGCAGAGCATGCACCACTGTACACATTGCATAGTATATGGTACCCACATGCCTGGTCAGGTGCTACACACACGGGGTCTAGAGGGCAAAACAAAGGGAAAATCAGCAGAAAACACAAATTTGGGGTGGCTCTGTCCCAGTAAAGGCAGTAATGTCTTCACCAGTGTGGCTCTGAACTGGCTCCCAGCGAGGCAGCGCTGCCAGGCTCTCCCTGGGAACCAGTCTGGCTGAGAACCAGAGATTTTGCAGGATGTGAGAAGCCCAAGGTCTGGAGTGCGCGGTTGGAATGGCAGATCCCAGCGTTCTCCCCGCTCTGCTTGCACACAATCTGCATTTGCTGGCCTGACTCTCCCTGTCTGCCCCAGGAGGGAATCAGTCAGGTGTGTCCAATCCCTCAACGTCACCTCCCTTCAGGTTGGCAGGGAATTCTTGGGAATTTGGGGTGCTGTGACTCTTCCCTCCCCCCTCCGAGCTCTGTATCCACACAAACATTTCCTGGGAGCGTTTCATTCCCGACCTTGGGCTGCTGCTGGGTTCACCAGGCACATCCCAGATCTACACATTGGCCAAAATTAAAGTTATTCATGTGATTTCAGCTTCCAGGAGAAATCAGCAGAAATGAATGCAGTGGGCTTTGTGATTTGAAAAGGTTCTTTTTGTTGTCATTAATGAATTCATATGGAAGGGATACAAGTTACTGAAAAATCAATCCCATGTGCAAAATGCCAAAATCAACTGCTGAAGTATCAGGCAGCGAGTAAACAGATCAAAAATGCAATAAATCCACTGATGCTGGATCAGAAATCTCCCCCTTGGTTCCAAAACCACGATGCCAGCTGCAGGAGTGGAATTATTGTAAATTTGTGCTATTACAAATGTGCTTCTTTTCCCTTGCTCTGTTGTCACACCGCTGGCAGAAGGAGAACTCAGAGCTCTGTGGGTTCCCTGCTGCAGAGCAGATCCACCACGGGCATGTCCCAGGTAATTACAGCTCGGTTTTCAGGCAATATTGGTGAGGCAGGGGAGGATCAGGAGGTGCAGGCCTTGCTCTTGGACCAGACAGGACCTGGTGTCATTGCCAAGGGATTTGGGTTCCCAAAAACCATCCTGGGACCAAGCCAAGGCTGCTCCTTCCAAAGGAGTGAAGGAGTGACACTCATTAACATCTGAAATGGTTCCACCTCCTCCCCAAACTCTCTGGATGGATCTAATCACAATATTTCTCCTGACTTCTTGAGTGGATTCCACACACACTGAAAGGAATCTGAACTTTCACTCCTAAGTAGCATTTTCACCTCTTTCTCTGAGTTAATTCCTTACAGATATTTTACAACTTGATTAAAATTTCCCTCTTTTTTTTTAAGGATACGCCTTTATTTTTCTATATAAAATAAACTGGGCTTAGTAACAACCTCACCAAGGTTATTCAAATGCCTCTTAAAATGACACCACACTCTCTTTTAGGATCATTTAAACTCCATTTCCCCAGAGTTAATCTTGGCTGTATTACAGGATCCTGCAGCCTTTGTAGGACTAATATTTGAAGGAATGAGAGGCAACTCCAACAAAATACATGGCAGCAGAATCCCATGGATCCAAACCTGGACTGGCACCAACAGGGGTAACAGAACCTGATGTTAAAATGCACATTTTTAGGAGCAAACCCAAGTTTGTATAAATGGCCTTTTATAAAATATGCATCTGATTTTGTCACGTGTAGTCTCCAATTATTTTGCCTTAAAAAAAAATCAGGAATGTGGGATTAAGGGCAAGTTTCAGAAGTACTGAACCTGTGAAATAAAACACAGCAGAGGACACATTTAATGGATTATTAAAGAAAAAAGGAGTGTCAGAACCCCTGACTTACCCAACTCAGTGTGCTGTGAACAACAGGAATAACAATATTGTTTTAGAATGGTGAAGTCAGTAAAGACAGGAGAGTCTGGAAGCTCCAGGGAATTCTCTGGTGTTGAGACCAAACTGAATTCAGAAGATTTGGCATCAAACTGAAGTTACAAATATCAGCAGCTGTGAGTTGCACATCCCATGGGAGAAGTGTTTGGCATCAGGAAAAGAATCTGTACATGTTAAATCCAACTCCAGGGAGGAAGTATTTGAAGGTTAACAATTAGAATAATTGATTCCCAAACATAAGAATGTGCTGAATTTTCTCTTTAGAGATTGTTGTTATCACCTTGATTGGTTAAATCCTCGTCAATCCCAAAGTGTCTGAATGAAAAACTCAGATAACAACAAAAGATGAAAAACCTCCCTGTTTTATAAACATTTGTAAACCCCCTGTCCCTGCCAGAGCTCCCAACAGAGCTCTGGTCTTTAGTATTATTTTAACAACAAGAAATGACGTGAGGAATGGAGAATGAGGCTGGATGGCTTCAGTCAGGAACACATGAACTCCTCAACTTCAACCAAACCACAAGAGAGCTGCAAGCAGTGCTGGAATCCCACCAGGAATTCCCAATCCTGATCCCCAGCACAGCCTTCACTCCTTACCGTGTCCTGAACAGAAATCCCCTCTTCAAACAAACACTGCCCATAGGATCTGCAATAAATGAAGAGTCTGCCAGCCTGGCTGCTGTATCTGTACTTCAGGAATCTCTCTTTTCACAGAATTCAACACCCCAGCAAGGAGGGAGACCTGCAGGGCCCCTGGCCCTTTGATGTCAATGGAATGGGCTCTGGGAGAAACTCAGGACAGCCAGGAGTCCAGGCAGCTTAACCCCATGGAATGAAGGACCTCAGGCCCATCCCTGGCTTCCCTCTCAAGTTTGTTTTTGTCAAACCCAAGTTGTGGCACTTGAGATGTTCAGGTGATGGATTGTGCAGAGTGTGGTGGCTGGGGATCCTTCCCTGGCCTGGGGTGACATGGAAGACTGAAAACAAGGCTCCAAAAGGCTCTAGGACATCTCTGACTGCAAATACACAAATATGCAAATCTCCTCAAGCAGTTAATGAGCTGATCCCTAATCTAGTGCAGAATAAAGAGAAGCAGCTGCTGCCCAGGGTTCTACAGCTGCCCTGCACTCAGGACTTCAATGCACAAACAAGGAAAGCTCAGAGAAGAAGGGGCTGCCCAAGGCCTCCTTTCCCCCTTCTGTGTGCTGGACATGGAAAAAGGGCTGGAGAAGTTCCTGGAGGATGCTGCCCTGTGCTGCAGCACAGAATCCTGCAGGAGCTGCCAGGGCCAGGTCCTGCCACGTCCCCTCAGCCTCAGAGCTCCTCTGGCACCTGCAGCCAGAGGGAATGGGGCAGGATCAGCTCTGGCAGATCCATCCACAACTCTGGCATTCCAGTGGATGCACAGATTTCCACATTTCCCTTGGCAACTGCTCCACTGGGATCACCCCGTGGTGCTGCAGCTGCCTGTTAGGCAGTGGGGTCATTAAAATATTTAATTAATCAGGTGTCTGCCACCTCTTAATGCTGCTGGGGATGGTTTAGGTTTGGGTGCCCCACAAAGGACATGGATTGCTTTTCCCAGCAGCTTCAAGAGGATCATCAGACTTCAGGATGCTGGAAACACCAGTGGTCTTTGCCAGCTGGTCCAGGACGTAGAAGAAACCAGAATATTCCAGAAATTCCTGTAGTGCTACATGATTTCAAAGCCTGGGCTCAGCAGGCTTTGGGAGGAAAACAAGCAAATAAAAAAGTTCATGATCCTTATTTTGGGAAGAACACAGTTGTGATGTGAACCTGCATAAACAAATGCACGTTCAGCATCAGAACTGTGTCAGTTCCAGGGAATGTGTGCGGTGGGAATTTCGGGAGGCTCTGCTGGAAGATGTCAGTGGTTGTACAAAATGGGCAATGGGGCTCAATTTTCAATCCCATGGGATCTAAGGCTTCACAGATGGTGTAAAACACAAGGTCCAACCACAGAAATTCATCTACTGGAAGGAACTCAAGACTCAGCAGGTGAAAGAAATGATTGGTAGGAAGTAAGGCAGCAATATCTCCAAGGATTTATCATAGCTCTTGGAATCCAAAGCTTGGAATCAGCTCCACGACTTCCCTGGGAGCAGATTTTTGTCTGATGTTCCCTTTTTATTGCAATCCTGACCGAGATGTTGTTTGAAAGGTTTGTCACTGATGGCTGCTGAAGCCCATTCCCTCCCCTTGGGTTTCATGGCTGGAATGGAGCTTCTGGAGGGTTCTTGTGCGCTGCTGGAATGGTCAGACATGGTCAGGCATTCCCAGGTGGGCTTGGGAAGATGGAACATGTGGGCAGCTACTGGGGGTACTGGGATGTAGGGACTTCACACACGGGGCCAGAAGAGGGGATTGCTTTCCATTTAAAAAGCAGGATAAAAATGGGAGAAAAATCTGATGTCTCTATACTCCTGTTCCATTTTGGGACTTCTAGCTGTATTCAGGTAAAAGAGTGGGAAAAAATAAAGACAATTCCCGACCCCCAAGCACACGAACGATGGAGTTTGTTCCTTTCCCTGTCCCTACTTCCCGTCTCCTGTCGCAGCTCCTCCCTGCTGGTCCCAACAAAACTGCCAGGACTGGCTGAACTCAAGCATCATTTGGCTGCAACATTCATGCCAGGTCTAAAAATAATTTGGAACTGGAAAGTGTTTTGTAACTGCTGCAATAATTTGGGATATTTGGCACTCTCGAGAGTTTACATTTGGTTTGTCTGAAAAAGCCATTCTGGAAAGAAATTGTTAGAATAAATCCCTTTACTCCAACCTGAAATGGAAATTGAGCTCCCAGCAAACAAATACTGGAGCTGACTTTCTGACTTGCAGTGGTTTGTAATTTTCAGATTTTTCTTCGTGTTTGTTTTTTTTCCCAACATGCTCACATCGACTTTCCAGTCAATTCACCCAAATTCCAACAGGAATTGGTTTATAAATTGGTTCCAACTGGAACTGGTCATTTGGAATTTCCAGCACAGGAAATTATTTTATAAGTGCCTCGATAAGTACCCAAAATTACAAACTGATGTGTCTAACACCTAAGGACGAGAAAAAAATATGGCTATAAATGCAAACGCTGTATTAAACCCAAAAATAATCCCAAAAACAACCTCTATGATCGGGCAGAAACGGAAGGGCCGGGCTGGGTTTTGCTGCCCCCTAATTAAACATCAATGACAGCAGGGTGCAACCGCGGTGTCGCGGTCACACCTGCCAAATGAACGCGATCGAATTGTTATTCCTAGCTACGTTATGGCGAGGTACCAGCGGGTGGATGCCGCTCCTCCCCAGTCCCAGCACTCAGAGCCGGTGCCGTGAGTCGTGGCTGTAGCCGCCGGGGGAGCCGCGGGCGCGGTGGGGTTTGTACGAGTCCTGGTAGGGGTCGGGGAACTCCTCTTCCACCAGGGGGTAATGCTCTCGGCTGTGCTGGGAACTGGAAGACAGGCGGTTCCTGCTCTTGCGAGCCCTCTCGTTGTTGTGGTAGTTCTCGTCGGAGCTCATGAGGCTGCGCCGCTCGAGGGGAGAGCTCTCGGCGGAGTGCGCGCCGTGCCGGCCGCGCTGGCTCTGCGGGGCCAGAGAAGCAGAGTTAGAGAGTGCCCGCAGCCCGGCCCTGCCCGGCCCGGCCCTCAGCAGCTCCGGCTCTCCCGTGCCAGCAGGGCCCGGCTGCTGCAGGGCCGGGAGCGGGCCGCCTCTGCTTCCTGGAGCTCCGAGCCCTGCTGAGTATTGCGCCGAGCATGAAAAGTGAGCTGATGTAGTCAGCATTTATCACTTTTCTCTGATCAGGAACAGAACATTCACGCTGCTACTCTGCTTAGGGAATGTCTAAGCGTCCATTTCTGTGGTTCTGGAAAACATCTGAAGATGTTTGATTGGGCTGTTTTTAAAGGTGCAGCTCTGGGCCTCATTTAAAACCCTTCCTATGACCAAACCATTGATGGTTAGCCAAGGGGAGGCTAAATTCATTGGATAAATAATAAATTCTTTCAACTGAAGCACAGTATTTAAATATGGGGACAGGAAATCCCTTCCTGAGATAACTTATTAATTAGAAGCCTTTGCTCTCCTCACGTTCCCATAATGACAATGCCCATCATTTGTCACATGAACAAAATTAGTTCATGGTTTTTTTTGCCAGTTAATGGCACAGTGAAGAAATAGCCTAAAACAAGCACTTTGTTTGCTTTCACCACACATTAAACCTCTCAAGAGCATCAGCACCCATCTCTTGGGACAAACTCCATGCTGAAGCTCCAGCCCCTGCTCCCTGGGATCTAAAACCTTCCTCCTGCTGCTACAGCCTGGCCACTGCTCCCTGAATAACTCCTGTCCAAGGCTGCTGTGGCTGGGGCAGGGATGGAGCAGGGCTGTGTGCTTACAGCTCAGGGCTGCTGCTGCTGCTGCTGCCAGGGAGACTCTGCAACCTCAGCCCAGATACTGGGGAGAGCTCCTGCAGGGGATCCCCATTCAGAGCACCAGGTTTTACTGGGGATTGTGGCAAAGGGCTTCAGAGACTACAGGCAGGCTGGAAGAGATGGGGGTGTCCACCTGGAGAAGGCTCAGAGCCCCTGGCAGGGCCTGAAGGGGCTCCAGGAGAGCTGGAGAGGGACTGGGGACAAGGGATGGAGGGACAGGAGCCAGGGAATGGCTCCCAGTGCCAGAGGGCAGGGATGGATGGGACATTGGGAACTGGGAATTCCTGGCTGGGAGGGTGAGCAGCCCTGGCACAGGTGCCCAGAGCAGCTGTGGCTGCCCCTGGATCCCTGAAGTGTCCAAGGCCAGGCTGGACATTGGGGTTTGGAGCAGCCTGGGACAGTGGGAGGTGGCCCTGTCCATGGATGGGGTTTGAGGTCCTGTCCAACCCAAACCATTCTGTGGTTCCTTGATTCCATGATGAATTATCCCTGTGTTTATCTGACACAAATGCAGTTTGGATGTATAATCCCCTCATCAATCATAGCTTTAACTCTTTGCTCACCCCTCTGCCTGAATCCCTGTGGAATTCACCTCTGGGGCTGCAGGAACCTTCCCTGGCTGTGTGCTCACCCCAGGGCTGCTGCTGAGCTCCCCGGGTGGCAGCACGGGACACGCCTGGGCTGGGTACACCTGGCTCTCATAGCCCAGGTAACTTTTGGTCCTGCTGTGTGATTGGGATGACTGCCTGCAGGAATGGATCTGAAACCCAATGCCCTGGAGCCTAAGGAACACATCTCCCCAAAACCTGAGCTACAGGATTTGAATCCAGGCACTGAAGTTAGGCTAGATGTGCTTAGAGCTAACCAGTCAGAGGGAAATGACTGGTGCCAAGGAGTTAGAGAATCCCAGGATGGTTTGGGTTGGAAAGGAAGTTGAGGATCACTTAATTCCTTCCCCTGCCATGGGCAGGGACATCTTCCACTGTCCCAGGCTGCTCCAAGCCCCATCCAGCCTGGCCTGGGACACTTCCAGGGATCCAGGGGCAGCCACAGCTTCTCAGAGCAATATTTTTCTAGGCAAAGATCATATTTACTCTTCCCCCTCAGCTCAGCACCGAGCTCTTCCTTTAAGGAAGGCAATTCCCTAGGATCAGGTGTGGCAGAGCCAGCACTGCCACCTGTGCCCTCTGTGACTGCTCTGGATCTGTGCCACAGAATGTGGCCCTCATGACCTCCGTGAGTCAGGAGTTCAGGCAGAACTTTCAGTTCTCAGTGAGCCAAAGTCCAGGCCACGGCCAGGTGGAAATGGGAGGCTCCCAAAGTGGAGCTGGTGAAGCAGGGACAGCCTGTCCCAGCACACTTCTATCAGGCTCATTGCTATGTAGCCTTTGGGCTTTTGCTTTTCAGTCCCTGAGGTACCAAGGGCAGAAGGAATATAAAATCTTCCTGCACCACAAGAACCTTTGCTAGTTTAATTAGCCTGAGTGCCTTTTAATTACCACACACATCATCACAGTGAAGCTGATGCAAATCTTTCAGAGGTTTGAATGGGTATAAAACCTCCTGGTGGGCAGCAGAGATGGTGGAGGTCCTTACTGTGAGATACCCATGGAAAACAGCAGGGCCTGAACCCTGGTGGCACAGAAAACCTGCAGCTCTGGTTGGGCATGGATCACTCCGGGAGAAATTTACCCCTCTGCAGAGCACCAGCACCATTGATCCCACCGAAACCCTTTGGAATTCGGGTGAAGTGGGGATTAAGTGATGCATACCTTCAGCCAGCCCACTGCACAGGGGTGATTTTCATCTTCAGTGTGAGTTTTCCCTAAGTAAATGGAGCAACATTTCACAGTTATTGCTGGTGTCCATTGATCAGAGAGAAATAAATGCCTGAAAAAAATTCTGTGGATACACCCAGTTCTCAAAATGAAACTGAAGAGGTGAAAGTTCTGCAGATGGTATTTTATTGGCATGAAGAGATGGAAAACTGAAATTTTAAGGCAAGTGGAAAATGGAAACAACAGTTTACATGTGCATGTTATTATTAGTAACAGAACAGTGCTTGTGCATTCAGCCACTCAGGAGACAGTGACTTGCTGGTCCCAATAAAACCAAGCAGGGCTTTAGAAAGGTGAGTGCAGGAATTAAGCACCTTCAGGGAAGTGCAGCTCACTCACAGCAAAGCCAGCTGGATGTTAACTGAAAACACCAAACAACAGTCATTTCCTCCAAAGCTGTTACCTGCTTCCAGACACTCCACAAGCAGAGCAGACATTTGTTACATTTGTCAGGTGAATTATTCATTAAACGTCATTTGTTCAGTTCTATTTCTGACGTACATTAGCAAGTGACACTCCTGGAGTCCCCGCACACACTGAAACTTGCAGGATTTAAAGCTCCCTGCAAATCCTGAGCCCCTCAAGCATCCCCAGAGTTATTAGCCCCAAACATTTCTGGTTTCAAACTTAATAAAGCACGTACTTCTCATTAAGGACTATTTACATGCCACGATTGAAGTGTCAAAGTTCAGCCGAGTCTGAGCTATCCCTGTGGAAAAAAAGGGTCACAATTTTTTTCAATGGGTAAAAAAAATAAAATAAAAAATAATGCCTTTTATTCACACTCAAAGAACAAGCTTTTCCACCCATAAGCCAACGTTTGGTGAAGTTATGAGGGTAGAATAAAAGGGATCATGACAGAGCTGCCTGCTGGCTAGGAAATGGTGTAGCTCCCACTAAAGGCCGAGCGTTCATTCCCAGAGGAGCTGCCTCCTCCCTGGCTGCACCCCCGGTGGCCGGCAGAGCCCCTGGCAGCCCGGGCAGCCCCAGGCGCTGCTCCTCCTGCCCCGGGGCCCGTTCCTACCTGCAGGCCGGAGATGGCGGCGGGGTACGGGGACAGCGCGGCCGGGGCCAGGCTCCTGCCCAGCAGGGGCGTCATGGGCGCGGCGCTGGACGTGTGCGTGGCTCTCCAGTACGCCTCCAGGTACTCGGCCAGGTGCTCGCACGCGTCCTCCAGCTGGTTCTCGTCCAGGATCACGTCGAACATGTCCTGGGCACAGGGACAGCGCGGTCACGGCCGGGGACACGGGGGTGGCACACACACACGGGGGTGGCACACGCTGGGGTGGCACACACTGGGGTGGCACACACTGGGGTGGCACACACACACTGGGGTGGCACACACACACACGGGGGTGGCACACACACTGGGGTGGCACACACACACTGGGGTGGCACACACACACTGGGGTGGCACACACACACTGGGGTGGCACACGCTGGAGTGGCACACACACACTGGGGGTGGCACACACACACTGGGGGTGGCACACACACACTGGGGTGGCACACACACACTGGGGTGGCACACGCTGGGGTGGCACACACACACTGGGGGTGGCACACACACACTGGGGTGGCACACACGGGGGTGGCACACACTGGGGTGGCACACGCTGGGGTGGCACACACACACTGGGGGTGGCACACACACACTGGGGTGGCACACACGGGGGTGGCACACACTGGGGTGGCACACGCTGGGGTGGCACACACTGGGGTGGCACACACTGGGGTGGCACACACACACGGGGGTGGCACACACTGGGGTGGCACATACACACTGGGGTGGCACACACACACTGGGGTGGCACACACTGGGGTGGCACATACACACTGGGGTGGCACATGCTGCCCGTCACAGCCAGCCTTGGAGCTGTTCAGGGAAGGGGAATCACGGCAGGGCAGAGGGGAGGGAGCTGGAGGCATGGAGGGGGCTTCCTGTAACAGCAGGGAGGGACAGGGGGAATAGATGCACACTGGAACACAGCAGGGAGGGAGGGGACATTCCCTCCCTCCCTGTGAGGAAATTCCTGCCTGGAGGGAGGTGAGGCCCTGAGCAGCTGGGGCTGCCCCTGGATCCCTTGGAGTGTGACAGGGGGCATGGATGCACACTGGAACACAGCAGGGAGGGAGGGGACACTGCAGAGGAATTCCTGCCTGGAGGGAGGTGAGGCCCTGAGCAGCTCTGGCTGCCTCTGGATCCCTGGGAGTGTGACAGGACACAGCAGGGAGGGAGGGGACACTGTGGAGGAATTCCTGCCTGGAGGGAGGTGAGGCCCTGAGCAGCTCTGGCTGCCCCTGGATCCCTGGGAGTGTGACAGGGGGCATGGATGCACACTGGAACACAGCAGGGAGGGAGGGGACACTGCAGAGGAATTCCTGCCTGGGAGGGAGGTGAGGCCCTGAGCAGCTCTGGCTGCCCCTGGATCCCTGGGAGTGTCCATGTCCAAAGCCAGGCTGGACAGGGCTTGGAGCAGCCTGGGATAGTGGAGGATGTCCCTGCCCATAGCAGAGGAAGGAATTGGGTGATCATCAACTTCCCTTCCAAGCCAAACCATTCCATGATTGTATGTCTAGTAAAGAAAATGGCACAAGTGGCTTTAGAAGGTGAGCAAGAGCCAGAGCCCTCAGGAGTCACTGGACACTGTCCCTGGGTGTTGCATGAGCCCTGCTTTGTTTCTGGGCACAAAATTCCTCAATTTCTTTCTTTCTTTCCAGTGCTGATGCCCCTGTAGCCATTCCCACAGCAGAGAAGGCAGCAGGCAGTCCTGACAGCAGCAGCATTCCTGCCTCAGGGAATTCTCCAGACACCTCCTCCATGTGCTGGCTGAAACCACCTCCATGCCTGCCTGTCCTCCACCCTGCCAGAACCAGCAGAGCCCCTCGAGAGAAACACAACCCTATTTTCAGCAGTTCAACTTCCTATCTCATCTCTAATCTTAACTTTGCAAAATACTGTGAGAACAGCACAGGAAATGGAAAATAAGTGCAGGTGCTGTGGGTGTAAAGGGCAACCAGCACCAACCACAGGCTGCTCTCTTCCACCTGTTTTTACAGCTCTCAGAATAAGATTTAAGATGATAAAGCAGTTTTTTTGTCTTTTTTTCATTAATTCTCTCTTCCCAGCATGGTAGAGAAAAGTTTCCTCCTCTGCCAGCAAGGAGGAGTTTCCTTCTAATCAGAATATTCCTAACACTGCATCCCTTGGTCCAGTTCAGTGTTTATTGCTCTTCTTTTGCTCCTCTCTTTATTTACTGCTTTTACTCTTTTGCTATTCACCCAGATTTTGATGCACCACACATTCCAGTCCATCACTCACTTGTGGAAGAAGTTATCAATTAAAACACAGTTAAATTAGAAATTTTAAAAAATGTGGTTTGCTTGTGTATATTTTGTTTTGAAAAAGATTGAAATTAAACACTGCAATATTCCTGGGGTCCTGCAATATCCCTGGAGCCCTGCAGTGTTCCTGTGTCCTGCAATATTCCTGGAGCCCTGCAATATTCCTGGGGTCCTGCAGTGTTCCTGGAGCCCTGCAATATCCCTGGAGCCCTGCAATGTTCCTGGAGCCCTGCACTGTTCCTGGTGCAATATCCCTGGAGCCCTGCAATATTCCTGGAGCCCTGCAATGTTCCTGGAGCCCTGCAATGTTCCTGGAGCCCTGCAATATTCCTGTGTCCTGCAATGTCCCTGGAGCCCTGCAATGTCCCTGGAGCCCTGCACTGTTCCTGGAGCCCTGCAATATCCCTGGAGCCCTGCAATGTTCCTGTGTCCTGCAATATCCCTGGAGCCCTGCAATATCCCTGGAGCCCTGCAATGTCCCTGAAGCCCTGCAATGTTCCTGGAGCCCTGCAATGTCCCTGGAGCCCTGCAATATTCCTGGAGCCCTGCAATATCCCTGGAGCCCTGCAATGTCCCTGGAGCCCTGCAATGTCCCTGGAGCCCTGCAATGTCCCTGGAGCCCTGCAATACTCCTGGAGCCCTGCAATATCCCTGGTGTCCTGCAATATTCCTGGAGCCCTGCAGTGTTCCTGTGTCCTGCAATGTTCCTGTGCCCTGCAATGTTCCTGGAGCCCTGCAATGTTCCTGGAGCCCTGCAATATTCCTGGAGCCCTGCAATGTTCCTGGAGTCCTGCAATGTTCCTGGAGCCCTGCAGTGTCCCTGGAGCCCTGCAATGTTCCTGGAGCCCTGCAATGTTCCTGGAGCCCTGCAATATCCCTGGAGCCCTGCAGTGTTCCTGGAGCCCTGCAATATTCCTGGAGCCCTGCAGTGTTCCTGGAGCCCTGCAATGTTCCTGGAGCCCTGCAATATCCCTGGAGCCCTGCACTGTTCCTGTGTCCTGCAATATCCCTGGAGCCCTGCACTGTTCCTGTGTCCTGCAATATCCCTGGAGCCCTGCAGTGTTCCTGGAGCCCTGCAGTGTTCCTGTGTCCTGCAATATCCCTGGAGCCCTGCAATATCCCTGGAGCCCTGCACTGTTCCTGTGTCCTGCCCTGCAGTGCCCAAGGCTGGCTCCAGCAGCATCAGGGGCAGATTAGCAAGGAATTAATAATGAAAGCAGTTCCTGAGCTCAAGTATGCCCAGCTATTTTTACAGCTATTTTTGCAGTGTCTAGACATGCAGCACCAGCTCATTCCTTATGGCTGGCTCTCAGCAGAGGAACAGAGTGAGGAGTGCATCCTGTGCAAGGACCTTTCCTTTAAACCAACACTCCAAATTCTCCTCTTGCAGGAATCTGAGCTGCAAAAGGATGAGCAGGAGAGAGGGAGCAGTGCCTTTGCTCTCAGCAATGAACTTTTACTCAATTAAACCGTGGGCCAAACTTTAATTTCAAGCCAAGCCAGACTGTCAGCTCCCTGGGAGAGCTCCAAGTCAGCACTCACTTCCTGCCCATCACCAGTGCAAAGTGCTGAGCTGGTTTGTGAGCAGCTCCTGGGCAGGGCAGGCTGCAAACAGCCTGGGAGCAGGGCTGGGTGCAAGGCTGAAACCTGGCACTCTGACATTTGGAGAGGCTTTTCTGATCCAGGTGAGGCCTTCAGCACTGCAGTGCAACTCCAGGACTGGTGCTGAGGCAGAGTTCAGTGAATCTGGGGATGGACAATCCCAGTGCCCCAGTGCACCCCATGTGGATTATTTCATGGAATTTAGGAATCCCACGAGTTGGAAGGGACCTGAAAACCATCTCATCCACCCCCTGCCATGGGCAGGGACACCTCCCACTGTCCCAGGGTGCTCCAAGCCCTGTCCAGCCTGGCCTGGGACACTGCCAGGGGATGGGGCAGCCACAGCTGCTCTGGTGCCTGCTCTCATTTCAGCTGATGCGAGCAAAGTGAAGCTGAGTAAGAGGAAATCGCTGTAGAAAGGGCAAAAAAAGGCTGTGAAACTCCCAGGGCTCTGTGTGCAGGTGCCAGAGGAAACACCTTTCACACAGGACAATGTGCAGAGGGCTCTTCTGTGTGTGAGCTCGGGGCAAACACCACAAACAGGGGCAGCTGCACTCCAGCTCCTCAGATCAGCTTGGGAAGGGATGTGTTTTACAGGGATCAGAGTTAGGAAGGGATGTGTTTTACAGGGTTGGGAAGGGATGTGTTTTACAGGGTTGGGAAGGGATGTGTTTTACAGGGTTGGGAAGGGATGTGTTTTACAGGGATCAGGAGTTGGGAAGGGATGTGTTTTACAGGGATCAGAGTTGGGAAGGGATGTGTTTTACAGGGATCAGAGTTAGGAAGGGATGTGTTTTACAGGGATCAGAGCTGGGAAAGGATGTGTTTTACAGGGATCAGAGCTGGGAAGGGATGTGTTTTACAGGATCAGAGCTGGGAAGGGATGTATTTTACAGGGATCGGAGTTGGGAAGGGATGTGTTTTACAGGGATCAGAGTTGGGAAGGGATGTGTTTTACAGGGATCAGAGTTGGGAAGGGATGTGTTTTACAGGGATCAGGGGATGGGAAGGGATGTGTTTTACAGGGTTGGGAAGGGATGTGTTTTACAGGGATCAGCTTGGGAAGGGATGTGTTTTACAGGGATCAGGGGATGGGAAGGGATGTGTTTTACAGGGATCAGAGCTGGGAAGGGATGTGTTTTACAGGGATCAGGGGATGGGAAGGGATGTGTTTTACAGGGTTGGGAAGGGATGTGTTTTACAGGGATCAGAGCTGGGAAGGGATGTGTTTTACAGGGTTGGGAAGGGATGTGTTTTACAGGGATCAGAGCTGGGAAAGGATGTGTTTTACAGGGATCAGAGTTGGGAAGGGATGTGTTTTACAGGGATCAGAGCTGGGAAGGGATGTGTTTTACAGGGATCAGGGGATGGGAAGGGATGTGTTTTACAGGGTTGGGAAGGGATGTGTTTTACAGGGATCAGGAATTGGGAAGGGATGTGTTTTACAGGGATCAGGGGATGGGAAGGGATGTGTTTTACAGGGATCAGGAATTGGGAAGGGATGTGTTTTACAGGGATCAGAGCTGGGAAGGGATGTGTTTTAAGGGGATCAGAGTTGGGAAGGGATGTGTTTTAAGGGGATCAGAGTTGGGAAGGGATGTGTTTTACAGGGATCAGAGCTGGGAAGGGATGTGTTTTAAGGGGATCAGAGTTGGGAAGGGATGTGTTTTACAGGGATCAGTTTGTTCTCCAGGACAGTTCCAGTTCTGGTTGGGTTAGTGGGACCTGGGTGGCTCACAGGAATAAGCCAGCAGCATTTTAAGAGATCACAGCTCAGTAAAATATTCCATGTGAGAAATGTAACACAGCTGAGCTCTGCAGAAGAACAGGCTGCCCAGAGGGGCTGTCACTGCCCTGGTACCTCTGCACTCTGCACTCCCATCCCAACATCCCACAGAGATCCCACAAAGCCACATCCAAGCCCATTTCCACTGCCTCTGTCCCAGAAACCAGGTGTGCCTTTCAAAACTAAAACCTAAAGTTTGAGCTGCCCTGTCCAAGCCCCTGCAGAGCCTCTCCCAGAGCCCTGCAGGCCCCTGCTCCATCAGCAGGAATTCAGCACTCCAGGAGGGGGGCAGGAGCTTTGATCAGGAGCTGGGAGAGCAGTGGCTGTGCTCTGCTGAGGGGATTGGATGGCCTGCAGGATCAGGGGCAGGGCTCACTCCCCTTTCCCTTTGCACACGCTCCCTGTGCAGGGAGGGGAGGCCTCTACAAAGCCAGACTTTGTCCCTCTGGGAGCTGCAGCTCCACAGATGATGTAATTTGCTAATGACCAGATTTGTTGTCCCCTCCACGTCACTCCTGGCCTGTCACCCTGCCAAAGACCAAAACAAACCCGGGGCAGGAGATAGGCAGGATGAAAGTCTGCAGCACTTTGTGCCTCACGAGTGCAGGGCCGTGTGAGCACCGCCAGGGAGTGATAATGGATGGATCAGCAGAATTCCACAAAGCAGGAGCTCTTCAGCCTCTCCTCTGTACTTACTGGTGGGCATTGTGCAAGTTTATCAGCTGCCACCAACTGGACGTTCAAGTGTTTGCTTTGTGACTTCCCTCTGGACTTGATCAGCCGCTGCAGAACCTGCCAGCAGGAAAGGGCAAAAGGTGAGTTTGAGGATCATTCATCTCCCTAAAGCTCAGCCTGGCCTCCCCCTGAGGGATTACCAAGGGCAGAAGCTCTCCATAAAACGCTGCCCTTGAATATCCCAAACCTTTCTGATAACCCTTCTGAGAACTGGGAACATTTCCCTCTGGATCATGTTTGAGCCCTTGAAAAATTTCAAATGCATCTCTGCTTTATCCTCCTTTAAGTCCTAAGTTATTTGTGACAATAGAGAAGCATGAAAATTATATTTATAGAGAATTATCTGGATTGCTGGATGGACTGTAGCACACCAGCAGTGCTTTATGTCACTTTTTCTCCTTTTCAGGTGCAGATTCCACACTGCCCATTCCCACCCTGCCCTCCGGCTCCCTCCTGGATTTTAAGGTGAGGAATTACCTTTGGAGAGGACACCTTCACATGGACAATGATTGGTGCTAGAGATGTCTTGATAAGCTGTGCAGGGTGGTTTATGGTGTCTGCATCCAGGACAACCAGCTGTAAGGACCTGGCCAGCTCAAAGATTCTTTCAATCTCACTCTGCACTTCAGCTGCAAAGGAAAACAAAGCAGGTGAGACCACTGGGATAAAAACCCTCACCCACCTACTGTCACAGGCTCCACATGTGAATTGATGGCATTGCCATGAAATAACAAATAAATAAAACCTGTTACCTGTACCTCTAGTGCAAGCACTCACTCAGGATGGCAGAGATTTGGAATTTGGGCTTTTTTTTTTTTTTTTTTTACCAAACCCAACTCCTCTTAGGTCCTGGGAAGGTGTCCCAGAGAGCAGGATGCTGGAATACACATGATCCACAGAAATTTCCACCCTTGGGGAAGGAAGAATCCCACAACCACAGAACCATCAAGGCTGGAAAACACCTCCAGGATCATGGAGTCCAAATAAAAATTCCTCAGGCCACTTTCCCCAGCAGTCCTGACACTCAGGAGAGGAGCAGGACCCAAAGCCTCACAGCCAGACTGCAAAATTCAGCTGTAACTGCTCAGAATTAAACACACAGCTGGTCCCAGGGTCAGGAATGACATTTCCTTGGCTGGACAAGTGAAAGCTCTTTGGCTCCTTGTATGTGGAATTAAAAGCACGGGGCTGGGAAGGAGGAGGAGCTGAGAGGCCAGCCCAGGATTGTGCAGTAAAATGCTGTAGACACATTTAAATCTGCACCACTGCTGGGCTCTTGGGAATGGCTGGAGCTGAGCCAGGGGAGGCTCAGGGTGGATTTCAGGGCAAGGATCAGGCACTGCCCAGGCTCCCCAGGGAATGGGCACATTCCCAAGAGCTCCAGGAGGGTTGGGACAGCACTCCAGGGATGATGCCAGGGTGGGATTTTGGGGTGTCTGTGCAGGGCCAGTTGCTGGATCCAGGATGCTGTGGGTCCCTCCCAGCTCAGACTGGAAGGCTGGGATGGTGTCCTGTCCCCCTGTGTGTAAGCCCAGCCTAAATGCAGCTGTGGCAGGGCCTTACCTAGGCTGGACCTGGTGTTGGAGCGCTCGATGATGGCCCTCTTGCTGGGGTTATTGAGCACAGACCTCTTGGCCAGCGAGATGTCAGCTGTCACTCTGGTTATGGATATCCTGGCAGGAGAGCACAGCACACACAAACACAGGAGTGGGATTTCCACAGGCACAGCCCATTCCAAAGGGCAAACCCAACCAAACACGCTCAGGCATGTTTGCAGATGAGTTATGGCATCATGAAAGAACAAATGAACACAAGTGCTGGGTGACTGGGATGTGTTTCCTATTCCCTGAGCCCTGGCATGGAGTTCCTGCTATCCTCCTTCATGCATTAATTAACTTTCCTCCTCCCAGCTCACTCATCTCCTGCATGAATTTACACAGTGCCATAAATGCTGTGAGTTATGTGAGGCTTGGGGCACCCAGAGCAAGGGAGCTGCAATGAGGCAGCACTTCCTCTTCCCCAGAGTTATACCAGGAGTAAACCCAGCCCAGCTGACAGGGAGCTGTGCCAGGGGCTGGGATGAGCAGGAGAAAAGGAACTGCAGCTCTCTGGGCTGCTTCAACTCAAGTTTAACTTCACTGCAGCTCTTTAACTTAAGGCAGATGATTTATTTACTTCATCTGTCAGTGAGTTAGAAAGACACAAAATGTTACAAAGCAAAGACCACACAGTTCCTTCGTGTAAAATCCAATTAGGAGGCCTGGGATGAGCAAGGAGCCAGGAAAAAATGGAAAGAAAGCAAGCTGGGAATGACCAGCAGTTTTTGCACAGCACCCAAGATTTATGCAGCTCTAAGTGGAATTTTCAGCTTCAGGGTTAAAAAGAAGTGCAGTTATTTTTCTGTATAATACATAAATAAATGTACACAGTGGAGGCCAAAGGTAAAAACGAGTTTAAGATAGAAATGAATGGACTGTGGGCCTTGGGCTCAGTGGCCAGCAGGGGAGGTTGCAGTTACAAAGGAAGCACTGGCAAAGCCAAGGGAACTCAGAGGCAGGGAAGGAGTCAGGTCTCTCTGATGCCTCTGGAAAGGCTCTTCCTTGGACACTCAGCTCCTTCCTTGGTAATGTGGACCTCTCCCAGAACTGCAGAAGAGATGGAAAGAAAGAAAGAAGAAAGAAAAGGGAGGGAGGGGAAAGACCACAAAGCCATAGAAGTTGGCAGAAGGACCAAGGAGCAGCTTTTTCCTGAGTTCCTCAGAGCTAAAATCAATGGTGCCAGGCTGCTGGTGGCACTGAGCTCTCCACTGCTGAAATTTCATACTCCCACCTGATCCAGCTGCCAATACTGCTGATGGAATTGGGGCTTCCAGAAAATCACTTGAGCTGAGCAGCTCAGGACAGGCCAGGAGAGGAGAGACTTTGCACAGAAGTTGATCATTGAATGTTCTCTCTGAGCTGTTTAGGGATCAGTTCAGCACTGCCACCTCCTCACTCCTGAAATCCATAAATCCTGCTCCAGCTCTTCCACAGAGCATCCTTTTGCCTGCCCTGGTGGTGTGGGTATTTCAAACCTGACTCAGTGTTATGTGTTACCAGAACAGCCTCTTTTCCCAGCTGGAATATCCTGAACTAACTGGGAAGGGCAGGACATCCCAAAGATGCAGCAGACACCCTCAAGGACTGAGGTGATGCCATGGACCAAGCCAGTGCTCCCAGCAAGGAAATCCCAATTATCCTCTACAGCTCACCAGGAAATGCTCCAGCTGAAGATGAACCCTCCTTACAATTCTTTTTGTGTGTTTGATTTCTCAGCATTTCCTTCTTCCAACCACCTTTTTCAGTATTTTTGCCTACTTGAGGCAGTCAAAGTAAAATCTCATATAAGGAATATTTTAGAGCTGATTTTTCTGAGGTGTTGGGAAGACACTGAGACAGAATTCCTGTGTTAAACTAAGAAATCCTAGCCCAGCCATGGCAGAAATGCAGACATGTGCATCCCTAGTAACACATGAGCTGTGTCCCACTCTTCAGTGGTGACACAAAGCCAGAAAATCAGCTTGGATCATGCAGCAAACCCTCTGGCATGAAAAAAAAAAAAAAAAAAAAATAGACTGAAATGTTAGTAACACATGGGCAAAGCAGCATGAGAAGGACAGAGTTTCTCACCTCCCATCAAACCTGTGCTTCAGGAAGTCAAAGAGAGCTTTCTGCATCATGTCTGTCACCTTGGCAGAGGGGAGAGGATTGAGCAGGGGGATGGACAGGGAGAGAAAGAAGCCAAAAGGAAGGAAAGAGGTGAGTAGAAGGCAGGGATACAGCCACCAATCCACACCCTTGCTGGGCAGACCCATCCCAGTGCCAGGTCCTGCCACCACAGCACTGGGCAATAAATCCCTGAGGTTTCCTGGCTTTTCCAAGTGCAGAGCTGCCCCTGGGTGTGCTCCTGTCCTGAGCTGCTCTGAGCCCTCCTCCTCAGCCCTCTCAGCATCCCAAAGCTGCACAGCAGGGCACAGCCACAGGGGATGTTTGCTGGGCACAGCACCTGGGCTCTGCCCACACAACACTGGCACAGTGGCCTCCAGAGCTCAGGGATGCTCAGGGGTGGATCTGTCCTGCTGGGGCTGCTCTCACAGAGGGATGACAGCAAAAAGATGCCACGTTCCCACTGCTCAGCCCCCAGAGCTGCCATGCCTGCCCTCTGATTTACTGAGCAGCTCCTTGTCCCTTGCAGGACAGCTCAGGCTGACAATCATTATCTGCCAGGCCAGGCAGCAGCTTCATCAAAGCCCCCAGGCCTCTCTGCCAGTTTATTTCCCTCCTTCCAACTGATTCCTTCAGCATTTAGCCAGGAAAAAAACAGTCAAAATAAATTCCCCCAAGCAAGATCAAGTATTTTTGTTATTGAAATTAATATTCTGTGTTACCCTTTCCACAGATCTGTATGTTCAAGGTGTTGTGTTTGGTGTTGTTTTATTCAAAAAAAGAGACAGGGTGGCAGATTTGAAGAGGTTTTTATGAACAAACAGCCTCTCTCCCCTCCAAACTCAAGAGGTAAATTGATCTGTGGTGCAGCACAGAGGGAATTTACTCCTGTCAAAAAACTTCCCCATCAAATTAAAAGGCAGAGAGCAGAACATGAAGTACCTGCTCTGCTGAGCTGCACCTTCAGTCACTCTCACATAAAAACAATGCCAGAACACTGCATTGTGCCAGGCCTGCCACCTCCCCAAAAGAACCATTCCAATATGTTTAATAATATCCTATCAATTACTGACAACATTAATTAAGCTTAATGAAGTATGTCTTTGATTTTATGTTCATTTAGTTCCTGGTTCAGCACTTCCCAGATGGTTGAGCTCCCTGAATTGCCCTGCTAAAAGTCTCTGCTTGTTTTAGCCCGTGGTAAATGCTCACTTGAACCTGCAGCAGCCCAAAACAAGGCTGTCCTGGTTATCTGGGCACATTATCCTGCCCACTCCCACCTGGGCAACCTTTTAGGAGGGTTCAAGGTTCCTTTGCAAAATATTTGAATTTATTAATGAAGTGAAAAAAGGAGATCAATAAGGAAGCTCCTTCCAATGTTTTGCTAATTAAGTTCAAAGCACGGGCTGGTTTGATGAACATTTTTCATGTGTAGAGTCCAGCTCATTAATTTGACTTCTTGCAGCAGACACAAATTCTCCTTTTTACTTGATTTAACCAGGAACGAGTGCACTGCAAAGAATGGATTTGCACTGTGCTTAAAACAGTACAATTCAGAAGTAACCCTTAGCTCTTCCAGAACATTCTGGTAATTATTTAAGCTAAATCACTTGAAATTATCATAAACCAGTTGCACTGAGCCGCACACACAGAATTACTGAGGGTGATCAGAGATAATGAAAGTTGAATTAATTGCAAACACCTCAGTCCATACCTCATAGCCTTTGAGTGATGGGCCCACCAACACCACAGGTCTCATTGATGGCACTACATCATAGGGGGGAATATGTTCTGTCTGGAGGGAAAAAACAACCCTTCAGGTCATCAGGCAAACAAACCCACAGAGAAACCCTGGCAATGGTGAATTAGGAGGAAATAGAACGGAAACAAAAGCATTACTTACCACTTTTTGTTTCTGTTTTGCTAGAAGACCAAATGAGAACTTGGTTAAAACACACCCAGGCAAGCAGAAATCCCTTTGCCAAAGCACTTTGATTTCTGTCTGAGCACCTCCCTCTGCTCAGGCCTGACTAAACTGGGCAATCTGTGCATTAAACTGGGCATTCTATATATTAAACTGGGCAATCTGTGCATTAAACTGGACAGTCTGCATTTAACTGTGCAATCTGTGCATTAAACTGGGCAATCTGTGCATTAAACTGGGCATTCTGCATTTAACTGTGCAATCTGTGCATTAAACTGGGCATTCTATATATTAAACTGGGCAATTTTCATTAAACAGGGCAATCTGCATTAAACTGGGCATTCTATATATTAAACTGTGCAATCTGTGCATTCAACTGGGCATTCTATATATTAAACTGGGCAATTTTCATTAAACAGGGCAATCTGCATTAAACTGGGCATTCTATACATTAAACTGTGCAATCTGTGCATTAAACTGGGCATTTAACTGGGCAATCTGTGCATTAAAGGGGGCATTCTGTGCATTAAACTGGGGCAGCTGCCACTGTTCCCAAGGATTTTTCCCAGCCCTCAGCAACTCCAACAGGCTGGGGAGAGTTGTCCTCCTCCCCTGTGCATGCAAACACTTTGCTGGAAAACATCTCAGTAACTCAGCCAAGTGGACAACCTGCATTTCTCATGTGGGGTTTCTAGACAGAATTATTAGCAAGGGTTTCCTTGAGTAAATCCTGTCTTACCTGTGGCTGTAGGTGTGGCTCGAAACGTGCCAGAGACCATCTCTCCAAGGCTTGAAGAAGAATTGCCACTGGATTTCCTGCAGCAGCAGAAAGACCCCCATTAACAGCAGGCTCCCCAGAACGTGGGAGGTTCTGGGGAGGAATTGTCCCATGAGGAATCACAAGGTCATACCAACATAAATGACTCTAACTAAAAAAGCTAAATATTAACTTTTTTTATTGTTATAATATGGAATTTTATCATACAAATCCAGGAGCATCTCACTGAACTCAGTAATTTCTCTGTATATTGAGACCCACTGGCTGCTCCTGAAGTTGTGTCAAAAATTATAGAAGAAATTTGGATGCTGTTCAACCATTCTGAAAGCATTTCCCTGGTTTATCTCCCAGACCTTTTCCCAGGGATTTGCCATCTCCAGGTCTGGCAGGTGGAGACTCAAAAACCTCAGGCTGGAAGATGAAGAATAAAGGATGGCAAAGCTGATCTTACAAAGTCTGGTTTGGGCCAGTGTAGCCATGATATTTTCTGAAAAATCCTTTCCTTAGGAATTTTCCTCCTGAGAAGCTGAGAGGCCTCAGGAACAAAATGTACCCAATGGTTATCTGCTGCTGTGGGATGCAACAGGAACAAAATGTACCCAATGGTTATCTGCTGCTGTGGAATGCAACAGGTGCATCTGGGATTGGGCTCATGTGGTTGTTTCTAATTAATGGCCAATCACAGCCCAGTTGTCTTGGACTCTCTGGTCAGTCACAAAATTTTATTATCATTCCATTCCTTTCCTTGCTAGCTTTCTGATGAAATCCTTTCTTCTATTCTTTTAGTATAGTTTTAATATATAATTTTCTTTTAATATAATATAGATCATAATATAACAAATCAGCCTTCTGAAACATGGAGTCAAGATTCTCATCTCTTTCCTCATCGTGGGACCCCTGTGAACACCAGCACAGGCCAAACTGGAGAAAAAAGGAAAAATGTAAGAAAAACCCCATAACCTAAGAAAAGCTGGGAAAAAATCTGGGAGACTTTGAGCCCAAGTTGACTTAAGGCCACGGGCACACAAAGCTCTCAGAAACTCCTGTCATTATCCCTCACTGCTCTTTCCTGCAGTCAAACCCATTTCTGTATCTCATCACCAACATCTCCCGCTCTCCGTAAATCCGCCCTTCCAGCGGGAATCCCAAACCCAACAGCTCAAATGCCCTGCAATAAAGCAGCAGCAGCAGGTGACCTTTGGAAATCCTGCCTGGGCTGAGGAGGACTGGAGGTGCTTTGCAAAGGGCAGGCTGTGCTCACCCCCCGTGGAAGCGGCCTCTCTTCTGCTCCTGCTGGATGCGGATGTTCTCCAGGCGCAGCGGGCTCGGGATGAAGCCGATCTCGCAGCCCTCCTTCACCAGCCTCCCTATCCACCAGTCGTTGTTGTATTTCTGCAACACAGCGAGGCTCCTGCCCACTCCAGCTCCCACATTCCCTCCCTTTGGTGCCTCCTCTTGGAGGTTACAGCTCTTACAGCAGGCCAGGGTCATGGGTGACAGGGCCTGTCAGCCCCGGCTGCAGCCAAGCTGAAAACCCTTGAATTCTGGTTACATTGCATTATACACTTTTCTTTACATCTTAATATATAAGATGTATATAATATATAAGCATATATATATTCTTTACATCTTAATATATAAGATGTATATAATATATAAGATGTATATAATATATAAGCATCTTAATACATAAGAACCAATCTATACCTTTACTTTTACCTACAGCCTATCATGACTGCTATCATTAACATATTATGGTCAATACTATCCAATCACATGAGTTAGTATGGTACAATTTAAGCTTAAAGTTGTTTTTCAGTTTTCTTGCAGTGGAAAATTCTTAAACCTTTTTTCTACTTGCTACATGGACATGTCTTGTTTGCCTGTGGTATCCTTCTGCTTGGCAAAAACATCCTTTTCTTTGTGGTCAGCTTATCCTTTGCTCTAAGTCATTAAAGTCTCTTTCCAACTTGACATAACCTTTCCCTTCCTAGCTGTCCAGCAAGACTGGCTCAGCAATTCTCAATTTACACATCTATTATTTTTCTATATCAAAACTTGCTTCCATCTCTATTTCATCCTCAGGTCCTACATTCAGAGATCTTTCTGCCAAGCACACATATCTGTGAGACTTTCCTGTCCAACTTCCATCCTTCCCAACAGCTACCCACCCCCCTTAGCTCCACTCTGGATAATGAACCAGGCTCATGTGTGAGAGCACAGCACTGAGGCTGTTTCCCCTCATCCTGGCCCTTGCTGGTTTAATTTCGAGGTTGATTTAATGAGCAGAACTCATTCCTCTGAGCTGAGGCCACCAAACAACCTCCCAGCAGCAAACATAAAAATAACACCTCCAGCTTCCCATCAAATATTGCTTGTCATATTTAATGGTCTAGACAAAAGATCACCACTTTCCCTTCCTCCTCTCCAGGTATTTGTAGGAATGTTATTAACAGGTTATGACAGATGAAGAGAAAAATTCACCTCTAGGAAGAAACTTCAATATATACCTAAAGCACAGCATTTTATCATTGACCTTTAGTAACATATATTCTCCTGCTTTATTGAAAGTCTGGTCTGTCCCTAATGATGGCAAAATGAAAAGCAGGATCCTGGTAGATATTGGAGTGGAAAAGGATTTGTTGTAGCTGCTGCCAGCAGAGCTTTTGAAGAAAAGTATCTGAAAAGCCTCTCCTCTGTTCTGCTTCATTAGGCAGCTCGGTGTTCAAAAGAAACATTGCTTTTCACAACTGACTCTGGAGTCATTAAGAGCAGCACGAGTGAATGGGTTTTGTTTGCTGCCTCGAGGAAAAAGCCATCACAGAGATCTCATCTTCGAGATCATCCCTGCTCCGGGCTCCACATTTGCAAGCACTTCAGCTCCTGCAGGAACACAGAAACACCCAGGCCCTGCTGTCAAAGGTGCAGCAGTGCCTGGTGATGGCTCTGAAACACAGAGACCCGGCCCTGAAAAATAAATGGGTTTTTATCAACCCAGATAGCTGAACATGAACCCAATCAGAAATATGAACATGTAATAAAAACTAAGGGAATGCAACCCTCATATGCTGAAAAACCTCTTTATCCTCTTTGATGTATTTAGGCAAGAGGTTCCATGATTTGATCATTCCAGCCAAGTATTTATTCCTCCTGTTGTTCTGACCTTGATTCATGCAGTGGCAGTAAGCAAAGCTTTATTTGAAGTATGTTAAGTTACAGAACCACTTCCAGTCTGTGAAGCAGACAAATCCTTCAGGATTCAGCATCCTGCTGCTGGAAATCAGTGAACTGAGAGGCTGTGGAGCCCCCACCCCTGGCAGGGTCCCAGGCCAGGGCTTGGAGCAGCCTGGGACAGTGGGAGGTGTCCCTGCCCAGGGCAGGGGGTGGCACTGGATGGGCTTTAAGGTCCCTTCCAACCCAAACCAGTCTGACTCTACAAAACCTGAGTTCCAAAGGCACTGCCTGCTCCATTTTGGCTCCAAAGGCACAGCCTGAACATGGGAATCTTTCTTCATGGACCTCTGAGTGATGCCTCCAGACATGGGATCAGCATCAGCCCCTCTGGAGAGGGACTGGGGACAAGGGATGGAGGGACAGCACCCAGGGAATGGCTGCCAGTGCCAGAGGGCAGGGATGGATGGGACATTGGGAATTGGGAATTCCTGGCTGGGCTGGGATTCCCAGAGCAGCTGGGGCTGTCCCTGGATCCCTGGCAGTGCCCAAGGCCAGGCTGGACAGGGCTTGGAGCACCTGGGACAGTGGAAATGTCCCTGCCCATTTCAGGTCCCTGGGTTATGCTGAGAGCACCTGAACACACAAATGCCAAGGCTGCAGTGAGGAACACAGGATTTATCTGCATTGGGTCATCCCCTCCCCTCTGTCAGTCTGTGTGTGGGAGGAGCAGGCTCCCTCCCCTGGTTGCCATGCCCATGATTCCTTCTGCTCTGTCAGGAATTGTTGCCATTCCATCCTTTAAGCAGGCACACAATGTATAGTTTGGAGGAGACAGATGAGACATACAGGACACAGCCTCAAAATAGCAGCTCCTCACTCACTGCCTCTGCTCCATCCTGCCAGAGGGTGACCTGACTTTGTACCCAGCTCAGCAACATTCCAAAACCTGGAATCACTGAAAAAAACAAATCCTGCCAAGCCTTTCTGCAGCATGGGGAGCCATTCCCCAAATCCTGCTGAGCTCCAGCTCCAGGCAGCAATTCTGTGGATCCTGAGCTGTCCAACACCAGTACCCAGATGGTTTCCAGCTCAGTGGCACTGTGATCCTGGGGTTTTAGACCTTGGGAACAACTCATGGAATGCCAAGACATGGATTTGGGACACTTGTCTGCAAAGATGTACAGGGCAGCATGACAGGAGCTTGGAGTGTGCAACTCAATCAGTGTCCTGACAATGAAGGTGGCCATGTCCAGGAAAACCAGGATTAAAAACTGGGAAAAGGGAATTTGCTGCCTTTCCCTCTCATCAGGGAGAGGGGGTGTGAAGCAATTCCCTGTTCCAGCACCAGAGGAGGGGCAGCAGCAGGTGTTTTCCTCCTGAATGTGCTCTGTCTAAGGGAGATCAGTGCTCTGGAGTGATGATGAACACGTGTTCAAAGAAAGACACAGATGAGCACTGAACACCCCAAAATAAACCCAAAATGCAGAGATGAAAAAGTGCTTTTGCAAGCTGCAAGCCTCTGTACCAATCCACAGCACAACAGGGGGTTATGCAAATGTGGAGGGCTCACTTCAGATAAAAAATTGCATAAAATATGCTCAGCATGCAATAAAATGCAATTTTCTTTACCAAAGCCATACTCAGGGCTCATTTATTCCATTTTTTCCCTTATTTTTGCATCTGTCCTCTTCAGGATTTTCTTTGCTTACTGCATTATCCTAAGTGTTACTTCCTCTCTGGAAGGGAGCCTATCTGGTGCTTTTTTGAAGACCTCACATGACCTGGTGCTGCTCCATGGAATCCTTAGTGCTCCACGGAATCCCTCTCTCCTGCACCATCTCTGATCCATCACAAACTGGTTCTGATGAAAAGAATCTGAACCTTTAAAGGTGGGATGTATTTCCTATTCCCTGAGCCCTGGCATGGAGTTCCTGCTATTCCCCTTAGTGCATTAATTAACTTTCCTCCTCCAAGCTCACTCAAATAATAAAGGGTATTATTTCCTTCCTGAGTGATGAAATTCCAACCTGTTGGTTACACCAAATGTTGCAAAAGGGCAGGACAAGCACCCCAGGGTGCAGGAACTCCAGGAGGGATGAAGAACCAGCTCATCCTCACTGTGCCCTCCTGGATATGGCTCAGCTGCTCAAATCAAAGCCCTTGGCCTGTAGAAAGATTCCCTTTCCCATCCCCCTTTCCTGGGCTTTACCTCTTTAATGTGGAGGAAGTCCTTGGCATCGAAGGAGATGGCAGTGCTGGGGACAGGAACATCTTCATCCAGAGCCCCACAGTAACTCACGTTGGTCTTGACAGCAAATGCTACTGGTTTGGACTGCAAACAGAAAAGAACACATCAAAAACACTGGGAACTTCTCATCTATTAAAAAATCAGCCCTAATAATTTCACCCAGGCCAGCAGAGCTCAGCTCCTTGGAGAATATCCCCATTTAGAGGAGAATTTACACTAAATTCCCCAAACACCTTCTCTGCAGACCCTTTGACTCAGCATTTCAGGAGGAAGTGTGAATGTTACCAGCAGGCAGGAGGCACCTCCGTGACTCAGTGGGCAGAACACACCTTGGCCCTCTCCAGCTGGATGGCTGCTTGCTGCTCCCTTTCCTGGCGGATTGCTTCCCTGTCCTCTTCCAGAGAGACATCAGAGTCTGAGGGTCTGCTCGTGTACGAATCTGCTGAGCCCTGAAAGGAAAGCCAGCTCACTGGCAAAGCACAGGTGAGGAGCAGAGACCCCCTCCCAGTCCCATTTAAAAAGTACTTTAAGTGCAATTGGTTTCTTTGTGTTTTTGGAGTGATTTTTTACAAAGACAAAAATGCTGAGAAAACCTCTCTCCTTCACTTTCTTACTGACACAGTAAAATCCAGCTCAGCTCTGGGCACTGTCCAAAAGTCTTTATAATATTCACATCCTGTTTGACAGCCTCAGACTCAGGATTGTCAAGGGTTAGGTCACATCAAATATAATTAAGGAATTACAAAGCCTGGTTTGAATCATCCCTCCCCATGAATATGCTCTGTTGTGTAAGAGCTTTGTTCCCATTCACACAGAGGTTTCTTCTGGGCTTCCAGGGGGAAAAAGTGGTAAAGATGACATTATTAAAGCTGCTCAACAGCTCTGTACTGATATGACATGAAAGCAGCATGTTCAGGCAGCAGCAGAGAGCATCAGCCTGCAAGGGGGGGAAGAAGGTGCTGCCACAGTTGGATTTTTGCCATTTTTGGGACATTTTTCAGGATACCTGGCAAGCCCTGAAGTGTGGAGTGGCCCCTCTCTTTGTAGAGGCCAGCCTGACTCCAGCATCCCACACACCTGATCTTTATGTGTGTGGGGCCAGTGGAAAAACAGAGCTTTAACCTTGTAAAACAGAGAAGATTTACTGCTGATCAATCTGTGGCTCTGTGTTCCAACAGAGCCACTCTACAGCATTATATCCTGATTCTTTTCTTTCCTACATTGTTTTATATCCTGCAGCACAGGCACTGTACAATTCAATATTCTTACTGTCCATGTAAAGTCACATAATCTTAAATACTGCTGTGAACACATGGCCACTGCTGTGGATCCACATCCATCCCTATGGATCCATGGCCATCCCTGGGGATCCCTGTTCACTGCTGTGGATCCATGTGCATCCCTGGGAATCACATCCATCCCTGGGAATCACATCCATCCTTATGGATCCATGGCCATCCCTGTGGATCCCTGGGCACTGCTGTGGATCCATGTGCATCCCTGTGGATCCATGTGCATCCCTGGGAATCACATCCATCCCTGTGAATCACATCCATCCCTGTGGATCCATGTCCATCCCTGTGGATCCATGTCCATCCCTGGGGATCCCTGGGCACTGCTGTGGATCCATGTGCATCCCTGTGGATCACATCCATCCCTGTGGATCCACATCCATCCCTGTGTATCACATCCATCCCTGTGGATCACATCCATCCCTGTGTATCACATCCATCCCTGTGGATCCACATCCATCCCTGTGTATCACATCCATCCCTGTGGATCACATCCATCCCTGTGGATCCACATCCATCCCTGTGGATCCACATCCATCCCTGTGTATCACATCCATCCCTGTAGATCCACATCCATCCCTGTGAATCCACATCCATCCCTGTGGATCCACATCCATCCCTGTGTATCACATCCATCCCTGTGGATCCACGTCCATCCCTGTGGATCCACGTCCATCCCTGTGGATCCACATCCATCAGGATTCTGCTGGCTCAGAACCACTGATGAGCCTGTGCTCTATCCTTGTTCCATACTCATTTGGGGAAAGGCAGATTCCTCCAGGCCAAATCCAATGGGATTTGCCAACAGGAGCTTCACCCCCAGCTGTGATTTTAAACACAGCAGAAAATTCCTTCCAGGACATCCTGCACCCAGGGAGAGCCGGGAGGGGCTGGGAAAGGCTGGGAAGATGCAGAGTTCAGGGTCCTGAGCTGGAACAGGTGCAGCATGGCCAGGCTGAGCAGTGGCATCAGGAGCTGGCAGCAGCTCAGCTCTTCCCAGCTTCCTTCTGCTCTTCCTTCTGCTTCCTCGGGGACGGAGCACAGAGCAGGGAACTGGGCAGCCACAGAGCTGGGCCAGGCCTCACCCAGACACCTCTCAGAGCCTGAGCCCCTTTCCATGGGGAAATTCCTGCTGTGCCCACCCTGAGCTGCCCTGGGCCAGCCTGAGGCCGTTCCCTCTGCTCCTGTCCCTGTGCCCTGGGAGCAGAGCCCGACCCCCCCGGCTGTGCCCTCCTGGCAGGGAATTCCAGAGAGGGAAAAGATCCCTGGGGATCCTCCTTGGCTCCAGCCTGAGCCCCTGCCCAGCTCCCTCAGGGATTCTGCAGCCCCTGCCCAGCTCCGTTCCCTTCCCTGGCCCCACTCCAGCCCCTCAGGGTCTCCCTTGCCGTGAGAGGAAAACCAAAAAGTGGGAGAAAATGTGAGAGGAAAAAAAGTGTGGGAAGTTTGGGGAAGGTTCCACTGCAGAGCTTTTCCCTTTGGATCCTCCTTTTCTCCAGGCCGAGCCCCTTCCCAGCTCCCTCAGGGATTCTGCAGCCCCTTCCCAGCTCCCTCAGGGATTCTGCAGCCCCTTCCCAGCTCCCTCAGGGATTCTGCAGCCCCTGCCCAGCTCCCTCAGGGATTCTGCAGCCCCTGCCCAGCTCCCTCAGGGATTCTGCAGCCCCTGCCCAGCTCCCTCAGGGATTCTGCAGCCCCTTCCCAGCTCCCTCAGGGATTCTGCAGCCCCTTCCCAGCTCCCTCAGGGATTCTCCAGCCCCTTCCCAGCTCTGTTCCCTTCCCTGGCCCTGCTCCAGCCCCTCAGGGTGCCTCTTGTCCCAGAGCTGTCCCTGGAGGTGCCCCAGCAGTGCCAGCACAGGGACAGGCACTGCCCTGGGGCTGTGTCACAGCGGGGCTGGCACAGCCCAGGGGCCTCTTGCCCAGCTGGGCACCCCTGGGGCACTGCTGGTCATTTACTCACTGAGCTCTGCTGTGCTCCAGCCCAGCTCAGGGAGGGGATTTAACCAGAGCAGAGCCCTGTGCTGGACGCACAGTGCCCACACTGCTTTGTGCTGGTGTGTGTTGAGCAGTGATGTCTTTGCTGCTGTCAGGAGAGCAGGGGCTGAGGCAGAGCTGCTGCTCTCCGTGCCAGGCTGAGCGAGCGGTGCCCGTGTGCCAAGTGCCAGGCGTTGGTACAATCCCAGCCCCACGATCCCCGCTCTCCCAAGGCTCTCCCAGCAGCCAGTGCCTTCTCTGGAAGCTGCAGCCCCAGGACTGTGACTCACAGGGTGCTGAGCTGCAGCAGCACACTGAAAACCAGGCACCCTTCTGCAAATAGCAGCAAGAGGGGCAGAAAAGGAGCCAAACTCGTACGGAATTTTGGGTTCTGTTTGAAATGTTTGATTGGAGATCAGGATTATTGCCAGAAATATTGTGGAATATTGACAGAATATTGCCCAACAATCCAACACAAACACTGCTGTCTGCTCAGCACCAAGTGCAGGCAGTTCTGCTCTTACAGCTCCTACTTGCTGAAACTGCAAGAGGGAATGAGAGATACAGAAAGAGGAAAGCCACTTCCCATCTTTTTTTGTATACCAAGATGTTCCTAAAGGGAGAATTTGTTAATGGAAAGGGTGCCACAGACATATTTTCTGAAAAATCCTTTCCTTAAGATTTTTTCTCCTGAGAAGTTAAAAAACCTCAAAACCAAAATATGAACAGTGATTGTCTGCTGCAGTAAAATGCAACAAGAAGATCTTTGGATTGGTCCATGTGGTTGTTTCTAATTAATGGCCAATCACAGCCCAGCTGTCTGGGCTCTCTCAGTCAGTCACAAACCTTTGTTATCATTCTTTTTCTATTCTTAGCTAGACTTCTGATAAAGGAAGTCTATTTCTTTTTCCTTTCTTCTGTTCTTTTAGTATAAATTTAATATAAGTTATATTCTTCTATCCTTTTAGTATAAATTTAATATAATATATATATCATAAAGTAATAAATCAAACCTTCTAAAACCTAAAGCCAACATTCTCCTCTCTTCCCTCACCCTAGAACCCCTGCACAAAAGGGTGGTCAGACACTGACAGAGGCTGTCCAGGGAAGGGTGGAGTTGCCATCCCTGCAGGTGTCCAGGCAAGGACTGGATGTGGCTCTCAGTGCTCTGGGCTGGGGACAAGGGGAGGGTTTGGGCACAGCTGGGACTGGGTCTTGGAGGGCTTTTCCAACCTTGCTGATTCTGGGATTCTCTAAAAAGTTCCTTTAACTTCTTTATTTTCCCACTGCTTAGAGCAGCAGCCTGGGGATATCACCTGTGCCCACAGTTTCACACGTAACATTTGAGGACAAATCATCAATCCCACCCTTACCTAACCCCAATCCCACAACCCTCTGGGAGACAGAGGAACTTTGGCAAGTGGGGCCTCAGTGAGTTCAGGTGACACCAGATTTGGCAATTTGAAAGAAACAGGCTTTTCTAGATAATTACATTATTCAAGGCAATGAAAGACTTGTTGCTTACTTCACAGCCTTTATGCTTTGGGTCCCTGTGAATTCATTTTTTTGTGCAATTTATTATTTATTTTCTCCCTCTCTCATCGACTAATGTAATTTCAGCTTAGCTAAAAATGTGGAGGTTTGAAGCAATCCCAAAAATGCCAGGGTAAAGAGAAGGGTAAAGCAGAACAAACAGTGGGTCTGCTCATTTTTATTCTCCTGCCCACGGCCTGGTCTTGCACGTGAGGCTGCTGGGAGGATGTGCCAAGGTGGAAAGGGTGACACAACATTCCTGGTGAATGGGGATATCCCAGCATTTCAGGGAGGAGGAGGAGACTGAATCCTCCTCCTGGGCACTACAACATCCAGCCACATCCAGCCTTTGTGCTCACTGAAGGAATCATCAACCTTTAGCTGTTACAGCTGAAAAATAAACACTTACTGAGCTTGCAAAGAACTTTCCCCTAAGTGCCATAGCTCCACAGCTCTCCCTCCATCCCTAAGGAATGCTCTGTCCCACTGCTAGTGCAATTAAAGCAGCAATCCATTAGCAGCTCCAATCAGCCAGATGACAGGCAGCCTCTCCTGAAAAGATTTAGGGTGCTGTGGGTCCATCCCAACCCGGAGAGCTTTTGGGGCAACATCCCTGCTCACAGGGAGCTCCTGCCCTCCCCTGGCACTGCACTGGG